GGATCAAATACCATCATTTAAATTCATTACTATAGGAGAGAAGAGAAAAAGAAACTAAAAAACGTCTTACAAAAGTCTAAACTTTATTTACTCCCTATTTAATTAAACTAATTTATTTTGCCTTCTTTTATATATAAAAAAACTGTCTACAATTTTTCAAGCGAATTAGCTGGCCTATCGTTTCCCGTTCTGCAACTAATTTGGTGACACTTTTAAGTCACTAAAATACTAAAATAATATAAAAGAATAAATATATTAAAAATATATAACTATAATATAAAATAATTAAAAAAATAAATTTAGTAGTTTTGCAGAACGGTTGTATTCGAGAGGGAAGGCTTCAGCGTTTAAATAATTCGCCAACTTTTTTCTTTTTAAATTTAGAAATAATTTAGCGGGCTTAATAATATCTGAGGATACCCAGTGATTTTTAAAGGAAAAGCATCTGAACTGAGCTTTTTAGTAGGAGAAAAATATTTCTCGGGATATCCGTACATATCCAAACAAAATTCCTTTTAAACTTTCCTTAAAATTTTTCAACATTAAATTTTATTTTTAAAATTTTTTTTGTAAAAGCAGAAAAATTTTTTAATGAGATACCTCTTTCGCTTTTGTTCTCTTTTCTCTTTTATTTCACCGATCTTTATAGCTGTATTTTTTAAAAGCTCAAAAAGTTCAGATTTAGTTCGCCCTTTCAGATTTATTTTTCTATTCCTTTATATCCCTTTATATTCTCATTTTAGCCATTTATCTTATCCCCCTCTAACCATTCCAAAATAAAATTATGTAAATTAACAATAATTAATTATTTTTAATTTTTATTTAAAAATTAATTTATATCCCCCCCTTTTTTATGCCCTTTTTTCCCCTTTTTTCATCTTTCCAATTCCAATCAATTTTATATAATCTAAATACCACAAACCAGTTTTTTTTCTATTTTTAATTTGAAAACACTGGTTTTGTGTGACTTTTCTCTGTTGGAAAGATTTGCTCTCAGATTTTTTTAAGTTTTTTTTCAATTTTTTATTTAACCAACCCCCCTTCTCTCTTCATCAATAACAGGTGCAGATAAATTATTTTTCTGTTTTTTTTGTTTTAAATGGATAGGAGATATAGGGATATAAAAATAGGACATTTAAGGATTTTTTTGGAAAAAAGTTTTGATAAATTAATTTTATGGAAAATTTTTTTATTAAAGAATACCTTATATTGATTAAATAAATAATATTTTTTTATTTATTTTTCAATTTAATTTATATTATTTTTGGCAAAATTTTCTTTAAAAATTTCTAAAATTTAAATTCATAATTTTATTGAAATTCAAAAATAAATTTTAATTTTTTATTCTGATTATTTCTGAAATAAAACACCTTTTATTTTGTAAATATTCTCCAAATAATTAAAACTTTTTACATTTAAAATTAATTTACCAGATACTAGGAATCGAGCTGGATGTGGACCAAGGCCTGGGATTTTTCTGTACACAGAGTCCAGGCCCAGGCATTCTTTGACCTTCCTAGGTTTTTCCTAGGCCTAGGTTTTTGCTGGACTACAGGCCCAAGCTTTTCAAAAATCTCGATTCCTACTAGATACACTCCTATTTTCAATTTTAAATAGTTAATTTAAAATAATTTCCGGCACAAAACTTTTACATAAAAAATAAATGTCTTTTAAATCTTTATAGTAATTCACATTCTCTGATTAATTGTATAAATTTATTTTTTATTTTTTTTGTCAATTCTTCCCCTAGAAATTCACACATTCTTTCCCTTTTCTCACCTTTTCCCTCCCCCTATAAACAATTTTTGTTTTGTGACTTCCGCTTTTGTTGTTGTTGACCACTCTTGTTGGACATTTTTCGAGGACATTGTTTGGGGGTATTTTGTGTGTTATTCTTTTATTGCCGATTATCTTTTCTTTACACACACACCTTTATATTTATTTATTTTCACTCAAAATAACCCAAAAATATTTTTTTCTTTTTTAAGATTTAAAAAAATTGAGAGATTTTACTTTTTCTTTTTTAAAAAAATTGTTTTTACGAGTTTTATGTTTAGATTTTTAATCTAAGGCTAGCAGTTGTTTTTTCTCATTAAATAAATTGGCAGAGGTGGGTCGGAACTGTCAGAAGTGTCGGAAATCGGAATTCCGACCCACCTCTGGTAGCTGGTAAATCCCGAAACCTGAAAAAATTATTTGATTGTTAGAAATCAAACTTAAAATAAATCAAAATTAAAAATCAAAAAAATATCCTCCTCTCTATTTGGTTACTAATACTGTTAACTAAAAAAAATTTTTTTGATTGAAGTATCACTTCCGTTTCTTTTAATACCCCATAATTCTCCAGAAACCTCTAAAGCTTGTTTTTCCTCAAAAACATTTTGGCTGCAAAGGAACTATTTCTACCAAAAATTTCTTCATTCTCCGCAAAATTATTTTTGCATCCAAATTTAATTTAAATTTTTTGCTTACTCAAAAATAGGCTTTAAGTCAGACTTTACCCCCTCCACATTTCCCCCTTATATATAAAAAAATCTTCGCGTCCATTTTTTGCTCGGCAGAATCAATAAATCGCTGTCCAGGTAAATATTTTGGTCTTCAAACTATATTGGCTAGCCAAACATTTTTTTATGTTTTTTGTTGACCCTTATTTATTTATTACTCACCCAATTGTTTGGCATTTACCTCCCAATACTAACACAAAAAAATATTTTTAGGACCAACCCTTTTTTTTAAATAATGACACAACTTTTTTAATCCTTAAAGCTTGTTAGTTAGGAAAATATAAAATTAATGACTAGGTTAATATTTAGGTAGATAAAAAAGTTTTTTTATCTTAAAAAAATTTTTTGCTATACTAAGTACCTATTATTTATTCTTCTCCTATTTTTTAACTAGGGAAAATAACTTTGTTTAGTGCCAGCCAACATCAATGTGCTTCTATTAGAGACTTGATATGAGGATCAGTCGTGATTTAAAATTTATATTTTGATCTAGATAACCGTTGTTTTTAAACAAGATTTCTCCTTACACGGAGAGGTTGCGAGGTGTCCGAGCTAAAAACGGTCGAGACCGGGCTCATTCGATAGAGAATGTGCCCTTTCTAGCAAGGATTTTTTGCCGTTTTTGCCCGTTTTTTGATCTGGCCAAGATATGGCCCTCGAAAGTCCCAAAATTTGCCATAATTTTCCCCCCTCAAATATAAACATTAAATAATAGGTTAATTTTGTTGGCGTTGTGGTGTAGTGGTGAGTGTGCTTGACCTACCCTTTTTCTCTAAAAAGTTCGATTCTTTTTTGGGTTTTATTATTTTATCTAACTGTTTTATACATTATTTATTCCTTTTTCAACAAAAAATTTTTTTTTGTTTGAAAAAAATTTTTTTTTAATTTTTAAAAATTTTTAAAAATAAAAAAAATTTTTTAATTAGATTAGCTATAAAACTAGAAATTGCTACAGCTGGCACATCGAATAAAACCAGATTTCAAACAATTAGGTGTATTACATCCAAAAGGGGACGATAATGGAAAACAACGGATCGGATGATCGAATTCTCCCGGGGAATCTTCTCCTGTCCACCCAATACTCGTCAGAATAAAGTTAAAAAAAATTTTTTTTATTTTTAAAAATTTAAAAAAAATTTTTTTCAAACAAAAAAAAATTTTTTGTTGAAAAAGGAATAAATAATGTACATATAAAACAGTTAGATAAAATAATAAAACCCAAAAAAGAAACGAACTTTTTAGAGAAAAAGGGTAGGTCAAGCACACTCACCACTACACCAACAAAATTAACCTATTATTTAATGTTTATATTTGAGGGGGGAAAATTATGGCAAATTTTGGGACTTTGGAGGGCCATATCTTGGCCAGATCAAAAAACGGGCAAAAACGGCAAAAAATCCTTGCTAGAAAGGGCACATTCTCTATCGAATGAGCCCGGTCTCGACCGTTTTTAGCTCGGACACCTCGCAACCTCTCCATGTTAGTCTAAGCTCTACTTTATTTTGATACACCTTCAGATCATCATACTTTTCACTATCAGTTATTAACAGAGTGAGTTTTTAGGTCCAAAAAACCGATAATAGGCACCTAAATAGGTTCAAAAAAAGCTAAAATAGGTTAAAAAATTTCGAAAAGTGGCAAAATAGGTTTGAATTTTTAGAGATTTTTCAATCTTTTGTCTTTAATTTATTATTAAAAAATTATTTTTAATTTATTAAATAGTAACCACTATTTTTGTATATAAACTTGCTAAAAATTCTCTAAAGAATTTTGTTTATCCAGAATTTCCCCCACATTTTTGTGTTCTACTTTTTTGCATGTAGAATGGCAGTAGCTGACATTTTTACAATTTTATTTTGTGAGAGGAACGCGCGGAGGAACGTAAAAAAGAAGAACGGCTCTTTCTTCTTTTTTCTCTCAATCCATCCATTTTCTCCCCTTCCATTCTTCATCATCCCTTGTGACTTATTCACCTTTTTTCCTTCACTGTCACAAATACAAAAATGAGTACTTTAGCAGCATCATTTTATTTTTTTTTAATTTCTTGCTTTTATCCCCTTTATCTTATTTTTCAAATAGAAAATTATATATTACAAACCTCAAAGAATTTTTTTAAAAAATAAAATTAATTAAATCTACTTATTTGAGTGTAATAATTATGTAAAAGGGGCAATCAACTTTCATCTAAAAATTTAAAAAAACTCGAAAAAGTATTTTATGTATACCTTTGTGAAAATTTTTCCAAAAAATGTCGGAAACGTTATATATAGTGCAGGGCAGGGATGTCACGGGTCGACGATTGCGGGTTTGCGGGTTGAGATTTTTCTCATTTTCTTATATATGGAATTAATTTGAAAAAGTGTATATGGAGTGCACTGCAGGGATCTAGCCTACCCGATTCCCAAAAATCGGGAATTTAAGTTGTATGTAGGCTAGATTCCTGATATAGTGTTTATTACCTATCCAGCCTTATTGGATAAGGGACGCTAATATCGCATGTATAGTATATCTCTCTATATTTTGTCCTTCATATTAAAACCCGTTTAAAATTGCATATTTAAATTCAAAATAATTCAATTAAAATTAAAATTATTTTCTAGCCATCTCCTCTTCCTCTCCATTATTTCTTCACTGCCCACGGGCCTCACCAGAAGCAACGGGTTCCTCACTTAATTCGCCAAGTTCCCCACCTCCATTATCCACTAATTTTGTAAATAAAAATGTGGAAGAAGAGGGAGAACAACAGAAAAATGAAGATTTGTTATTAAAAGAATTAGCGGCAGAAGGGGATGCCGAATGTTTACTTATTGCTTCTTGGCTAGAATCTAATAATAATAATAATTGTGTTGGGAGTGAAAATAATAATAATGAGGGAATTAATAATAATGATGGATTGGTGGGGGATATTAGTGAGGTGAACTTTTTAGTTTAAAGAAGGAAGGGATGGAAATTTAAAAAATTAAATTTAAAAAATTATCTTTTGCGAATAGATCCGCAAATATTAATAAGATTCATTTATCCGTGGATTAAACTTAGCGGCATATCTGAGTATGTATTCTCAAAAATTTCATGATTAAAATAGTAACATGAGGATTCGCCTTTAGGTTTTAAAAAATTCCTCAGATTTTCTAGCAAATTTACGGTTCTGTCTGTTCTTCAGCGAATGTTTTGATGACATACCGTATATCCTTTAAAATAAACACCCTGTGTAATTATTGTTTCGGCCTTCCGCTGGAGGGGGTAATTATTTGAGGGAGGGTAATTATTTTAGGGAGGGCAATTAATACAGGTTATACGGTATTTAGGTATATATCCTTTTCGAAAACTAAGTTTTTCTCTTTTTAACCCTCGTCCTTTAGATTTTTCTTTAATTTTATTCCCTCAATTTTATCCCAAACATTCCAATAAAAGCATTCCAAAAATTAAAATTTTATTTTTCTAACAGCCCCAAAGACCCCGATTTTCATTGGATCGACTAGTCCCTCCAGAATTACAATTAGAAATTACAAAACCAATCCTTGAAGAAAAACAAATTTGTGGGGATTTTTCTTTACAAAAATCCTCCCCTCGTGGACAATGTCAAGGAACGGTTTATGTACATTTTCATCACGAAAAAAATAATTTTGATATAAAAATTAAAAAGGAAGGGGAAGAAAATGGAGAACAAAAAAGAATAATAAATTTAAATAAAAAGAAGAGAAGGCTATTGTCTATAAATAATAATAATTTTGTTGTTGGTAATGAACAAAGAAATGAACAAAATGAAGAAGGTTTGTAAAGATGGGACACGCCCAATTAGGCGCGCGCCATAACGGCGCAAAGCCATAACTTGCTGGAAATTTTCTGGCCCTTATCAATTTTGGTAAGAATCTCTTTAGCTCGATGGGAGGAGTCGTTTATTACTAAATTTTGAAAGATTCGAAAATCTTGAAGCAAGTTATGGCTTTGCGCCGTTATGGCCGCGCGCCTGCTTGGGCCTGTTTAAATTTTGGAATAAAGGGAAAGGAGTAAAAGGGAGGGTGTTTTTTGAACGTTATTTTTAAATGATTAAGCAATGAAAAGAGAAAATATTTTTTAAAAGAGAAATTAGATAATTTAAATTGTGTGATGCAAAAAAAGGAATTTTAAGAATATTTTTAGAATGATTAAAAAATGGTAAAATTATTCACAAAATTAAAGATTACGTACATCTAAATATTTTTAATTTACTTTAAAAAAATTTTTTCTTCATTTAATTTTGTGAAAATACAAAAGTTAGTTAAAAGAATTTTTTAATTATAAAAATATTTTCTTAATTAATTTTTTATTAAATTTACAAGTCTTTATTGAATGGCTAAGTTTCTTCCTTCATTTTATCATAGGAGGGAATAGAAGGGGGATAAATTAAGAATCTAAAAAAGTTACCTGTGATTTCAATAAAAATTCTATTTAAAATCTTCACTATTTTAGTGTCATATCAACACCAACAAATTCAAAAAGAAAAAGAAGAAAACAAATCTTCAATTAATCAAAAAATCTCTCCCTATTCAACATCCCCTTCTCTTCGTTCGGGGGTTACATTACTCGAACAACTAGTCAAATCTCATCCTATATGGTTCCTTCCTCATTTAAATAGACAAGAAGCTTCTCATCTTTTGAGGCATCAGGAACCCGGAGTTTGTTTTTTTTGAAAAAATTTTTAGAGACATTTTATCCCAACCCCTTCAAGGTTTTTATTGTTCGAGGTTCTAGCCGTATTATTAGCAACAACAACAATTCTTTTACTAATTCTGATATTTCGGCTTCTTTTCATTCTTCCACTCAGCGTTCCTCTATTTCTGTTATGGCCCTCTCTGTTAAATTACCCCCTCCAAAGGAGGAAGAAGAAAACGAAAATATTAATAATGAAGATAAATTGGATACAGATCAGTTGGATCATTTTTTGCTTGAAGCTGTGGGTTCTGGGCAGTCTGTTCGGTTACAGGGATCGGTGTGTTTTGTTTAGTAAATAAAATTTCCGTTAAATCTGTAAACAGAAAATTAGGGGGGTTATTAATGTGAAAAGGGAACGTGGGTATTTATTTTGTCCGAAATTTGGTTGGATTAGACAGTCCTGATATGTTCAGACAAACGCTAACAATTGTCACCAATCGCCTGCTTTTTCAATTCGTCCACAATAATACTCTCGTATTTTCCCAGTATTCCATTATCTTGATATTATCGTGTATGTTAGTTTTGAGCATTAGAAATTCAAATAAACAGAAAACATATCTCTTAATTAGACTTAAATTTAAAATCCAAAACTATTTTTTACTGTTACTTTAAATTCTTTTTACTTTTAAGCCTCGTACATTTACCTCTTTACCTCTTTTATTGGAGCATTATTGTCAACCTGAAGCAATTCAAGAACTCAAATGTAGTCTTTGTTTGCCTAGTGCTGTTGCAAAGTGTGAAACAATAAATGGTTTACAAGGATTGGCTTTGATGGGGCAAGGCAAGTTTTCTAATAAATTTATTTTTGATTAATTTTTACTAAATTAAACATATTCTTGTTTTTATTGTCACAAAAAATCCCCCCCACCACCAATTATTCATTAAACTAATAATTCCTGCATTCCTGTTTAATTTATTAGTGCATTAAAGAAGCTTTTATCTGATTGATAAAATTTATCATTTATTTTTAGTTAATCTATTCAGTGATTAAAAATCTTCCTTTTCATAAACTTAGCTCAAATTTCTCTGTCTGTCTCTCAATTCCCCCTAATCTCTCCTTTTCTCTTACAAATTATTTTTCATTTTAAATAAAATTTTGACTATATTTTTTTAAATTATTTTTTCTGTATTAAAAATCAAAACAGATTCAAAACAACTTTTTTTTATAAAAAATAATTTTTTTCTATTCCGATTAAATGTAATTTTATATTTTTATTTTTAAGAGGATTTTCCTAAAAAAAACAATTTTTTATTTAATTTTTGTGTCATTTTATTTATTTTCTCCTTAATTTTGCTTGTTTCTGCCCTTTAATCTACGCCGAGGATTAAAATTGGAAGAAAACAAGAAAAATAATAAACATGACCTTCTTTTTTTATTTTTAATGTGTTAGCGCGCGCCACACAAAATTTTATCTGGCGAGAACTTCAGCAGATCCCCCAATACAATTTAAAATAATTTTCTTACTATTTTAGTCAATAAAAACACAATTAGTGACAGATTTATAAAAGGAAATTTAGTTAAAAAATTTATTTAAAGATTGTAACCTTGGTGGATATTTTGTTATATTTAGGGATTAATTTATTAATATTTATAGGACTTGACATCTAAATTAAATATAGATTGGTAAAACGGCATTTGCAAAATGCTGTATGCTGTCTTTTTTGTAAAGAAAGATTAATTTTATTAAATCCAGAACATCTTTAATTATACAGAACTGCGGTTGTGTAATTCCGTCATGCACTCATATTTAATAAGAAATACTATCTCTAATTCCAAACATTTACATAATCTAAATTAATCCAATATTCTCAATATTCTCAAACTAAGCTGGATATTCTCGATGTTTCGATGTGATATCTAGTTTCAGATACCAATATCTTGATTACTTTCTGAGCCAAAATACAGTTCTAGGCTCTAATCAGCTTAAAATCAATCAGAAATTTCAATAAAAATTTCTCTTCACCCGATTTTGCAATTTTTTCATTAAACTCCTCAAAAGTTTCTCCCCTTTAAATATTCCAATCGAAGCCATCTTGAGAACAAATCTTTAAAGTTTTTAATAAAAATCAAACTCGCCACAATTTTTATTTTTTAATGTCCTTCAAGCTCCCTCTCATTTTTAAAATCTTATCTTTTCTCGTTTATTTTTAAATTTTCTCATTTGTTTCCTCAAATTGCCATTCACCTCTCCTCTCCTTTTCTCATTCATCTTTTATTGTTGGTGACAATTTAATCCTTTTATTTATTTTTATATAATCCGTTCCTTTAAAAACAACAATTAAAATAGTCAAAATATATTTTTAATATTAAAACTTTCTAAAACCTCTATTTTACATACACTTTTGGCTACAATAATTTATTAAAAATGAGCTTAGGTTTATTATTGCATAGAAGCATCCCTTCCGATGCTTCCTTCCTTAAAAGCATCCTCTCTAAATAAGCATCCCTTCTTTAGAAGCATCCCCTCTGATAACAACCTTTCGATATAAGCGACTTCCTCGACATTTTTGAAGGAATCTCGATTTCCCTTTATAAGCGACACTTACTTTATTCACTTTGTCTTTCTAAAAATTATTTTAAATAAAATTTTATCCTTCCTAAACAGATTTTTGGACAAGTCCAAAGGCTTTTCAAAACAATTCTACACATTACCAACTTCCTTCCAATGATTATTCCTGTTCTTCTTGTACGCGTTCACAATGCCATTCGCCTGCTTCCTCCTCTCTAAGAAGCGGGCCACTTCCTGCAATTCCTGCATTACAACAACAACAACAGCCTCCCAAAATGGGGACTTTTATTACACAACAAACGGTAGAATGACAAAATTTATTTTAGAAAGTTCCCCTCTCTAATAGAAGGTCACTATAGAGATTTGGGCATTTTTGTCAAATATTTCTATTAATGTAGGCATATGTATAACCCCAAGAGTTGAACCAAGCTTCTCCTTATCCACAAGTTTTCCATCAATGTGTGGAATAAAATAAAGAAGATTTTACTTATATTATTCTTTTTCTTCCTTAAGAATCATCAAAGCACCAATAACCATCATTTCTTTTATTGTGAATCCCCTTGTCCGTCTACCACTTCGACGGCAGTATCAGCTCCTCCAGCTTCTCTCATTGTTGGGGAACCTTCCTCTTTATATGGATATCATCACCATCAAAGGGCTAATAATGATTTTTGCTGTTGCTGTTGTTGTGCAGCAAATGGGTGTCCTGGACATCAACAACAATTGTTGATACAACAACAAAGACAATTTGGTGAGTTTGGAAGGGAGAAAAAATTTAGAGGAGGAGGAGGATTTAATGTTAGATTTGAAGATTTTCTATAAATTCTGAATTTCTCTTTCTCTTTTTAGACATCAAAAAAATATTATTTTAAAATATTCTAAAAATTTCAATATTTTCCCAGCAGCACTTCCTCTACGTAAAAGTCGATCAGTTCAATCCTCCTTTCTTTCCGGCACCCCACCACCACCACCACCCCAACCTCAATATTCTTCTCACAAATCAACAGCCCCATCATTTTGTCAATCTCCAAGTACCCAAAGTTTGAGAGAATCTAATTATGGACGTTTTATGATTCCTCCGCCTTTGAAGAAAAGAGGCCCTGAATCTTTTTTACGTGCATTATTTTCGCCATCACCCCAAAGAAGAAGGCCTAAAGCGAATGGATCAAGTTGGGAATGGATGCCTTCTCCGGCTAATAGTCCTTTATGGGAAGAAGAACAACAACAACCAACAATTCTAGGGTGAGGGATGGGTGTTTTAATTGTAATCTCTATCTTATCCCACCTCCAGAACCTTCTCAGAAAGAGATAACTGAAGCTATAGATATCTGAGAATATTGTGATACGTTATTAGGACAATTCAGATATTGAAATATTTAAGTTGAGATAGGATAGAGAGACTGATATATGCGGGAGTTAACGGCTTATGCCTTAGATTGGGATATACGAAAATCTTGAGAAGATTTACTATTAAATTAATTTATAAGTTTCAGTAATAAAAGCAATATCATCAGCACTGCTCAACAACAACAACCACCATTAAAACCAACAACAATAACAAATGCTCATTTAAAACAACAACAAAGACAGCAACAACAACCATCGGGATCTTCAATATTTGCTCGTTTAAAGGGTAATTTCCGAAGAACGAGTAGTTCAGGGATTTCTTCTCCTTCCTCAAAGGATGATTGGCAAGGACGTAATCAAGGTAGAGAGAAAGAGGAGTATGATCAAATTAAATTAGGAAAAATGTTAGGACATTTTAAAGAATTAAAACTCACCGAAAACCTCACTATAAGGGGAACTTCGGTATTATAGAGAGCTGTCTAATTGATATAGAGAGCTGTCTAATGATTTAGGCGTTTCAACAAATTCCGATAGTGGCTTTTTTTAAGGTACCTTTCATTTTAGGGTATGATTTTTCACCCAGGGCGGTAGGTGTCTTGTTGTGAGGGCGACTTATTATCTTGGTGATCTGTCTTTTATTTATCAGTCTATAAACTTTAGGGGCTTTTTACTGTAAGACAACTGACCGAAAGATTATTAAATTAATTGTTAATTAGGTAAACTCTCATTTAACTTAAAAATTGTTTTTAAAAATTTTTAATAATTTTGAAAATTCCTTTTAACAATTTTCTAGTAAGCACTGAAATTCTAAATGCCCGTCAAGCAGCATTTCGCCGTACAAACACAGATTTAGGCGTTCCAACAAATTCAGGTTCAACAACTAATCGAATGGCTTTAGCTTTAAATAAAATGCGTAAACAACAACAACAAAAACCCCCTCAAAATCCTTCCCTTCCCCCACAATCTTTTCCACAACTTGCTAGAGTTTTGCCTCAACCTAGAACAACAACAATTAATAATTTATCTGGTGCTAAACATTCTTTTATTTTTAATGGTTCTAATAGGTAATTAGTAATTTTTTTTGTATTTTTAACTAAAGAATAGGTTGTTGAAATTTCGATTTTTGAAGTTTTTAATCCTCCAATACTTTACCAACTCTAATATATTTTTTCCCATCTCTAACAAAAAAAAATTTTTATTTTATTTCGTGCATGAACACACGCTCTTCTATTAAATCAGAGTCCAGAACTTTATTCCAGACTTTTTGACAAAGCCTCTTTTTTTCTTATCCACAAAATCTCCAAACTTTTCTGTTTTCTAGAAGAAATGATTCACAGGTGTCTAAAGCACAGAGTATTACGAAAATTATTTTAAAATTATTTTAAAACTCCACGTTTCCCTCACAGCTCGAATTCTTTTTAAAAAATAATTTTTATAAAAATATTTTTAACAAAAAAATTTTACAATTTTGTACTTTATTTTTTATCAAAAAAAAATTATTTTTATTTTATAATTCTTTAGTAAAACAAAATTATATATTTTACTTTTTATATGTCTATGTACTTAATCATTTTTTCTAAACAATTTTTTCCGCCTTATTTTTTCCCTCCTTCACACTTTATAAATAATGATCGCTTTTTGCCCTTTTTCGGAGATGTTTTAGGGAGGGGGAGGATCATAAAAATTTAAGAGGGGAAATGAATAAGAATTTATTTGAGAGGAAAAGATTTACAAAAAAATAGTCTCAAAAATATAATTATGTATTTTTTGATATAAAAAATTGAATAATATTTTATAAGGAATTTATTTGACTAATTTTGTGTTTTTTCGAGAAATTCACATTTTTAGGTAACCCTTTTTCAATATTTTTGAGACCATTTCTTAAGATCAGAAACATTTTAGAATTATTAGTACCATTAGGGTAATAATACTTTTCACAGTTATCGAGTTATAACTTTATAATTGGTGAACAGACCTAAGTTGGAAAAAAGATAGAGCCTATCGAAGGCTTTTGAATGATATAGAATTCATTTGTATTGGATCAGGCAACAAAAAGTTATAGCTGTTCAAAGTCGACCTTCACTAAATTTACGGTCGTATAATGGAAAAGTACCATTATTAGGTATAAATGTTGAATTCTTGAGGGAAATTTTTAATTTTTCGTTTTAAGAATATCCTATCATTTTGTAAATCCCCGTTAGAATTCTTTTAGTGTTTCTTTAAATTTAATTTTTCCTATTTTTTTTAAATTAAAATTGATCTAACTGTTTTAGTCATTAAAAATTTTAAGAAAAAAATTTATTTATTTATTTAATCGATCTATTAATTCTCAATATTTTTTTCTTTACTTTTTTTACAATCATTAAATATTTACACACACTTTTTTTGGAGAGGGAGGTATATATTTATTTAAGTACCTCAATTCTCTCACCTTTTTTTCGCTCACTTCTTTATATTCCAACCAGCCTTTTACAAAAAAAATATTTTTTCGGAAAGCTTTTTTGCGTTTTTTTTTCATTTTATTAAATAGCAACAATTAGAAACATGTCCAATTTATTCTATTAAAATTTTGTTGTGTATTTGTCAATTTATTATATTTACGCACATACAAAGGAAATTGACCAACTTTTTAAATAAATTAAAAAAATTTTTTTAGTTTCCATTAAGTGACTTTAGTAAATAATATGAGAATCTCTGTCTCGATAATCGAGATTTTAAATTGAGATCTCGTTTTGTTCAGATCTCTAATAAGAAATAGAATTGTATCGAGTAATCTTATATAGAAGGTAGATGATCAACACTTTAGAGGCCTCGTATCTGTTAAATTTGGATAAACGTCTAGTGTAGTTTTAGTTGAATATAACGACTCGGCATCCTCTCCCAAATACAGTAAGGTGCAAAAGTTTATGCCGCTACACCTCGCACGCAGAAAAGTCGATATATCTCAGAAAGAAAAAGGACTTAAATTAAATCGATTATATTTTAATTAAGTATAGTTCATCAGTTTATAATATCCATAAAAATTTTTTTGAATACTCATGTTATTTAAAAGTTATACACGTTTAACTTATTTACCTCACATTTTAAGGGAGCAAAAGTTTATGCCGCTTGTAGGAAAAAAATTTTTTTGGTTCCAAAACAAGACGAAAAAATTACAAAATTTTTTTATAAATATTTCCGTTGATAATGAATAGAAAAAGAGAAAAAACGAAGTCTGTACTCGCTTAATTCATTGAAATCTAAAATCTAAAAAATCAACGGGAAATGAGGTTACAGTACTTCAAAAAATATTTTAGCTCCCTAAGGCCTGTATTAAAAATTCTTTTTAGGCTCATTAGAAAGCCCATAAAATTTGCTACAAACTACACATGGTCTCATATCTGTGAAAAATTTCAGCTTCGAGATAGGGTCGCATGAAAAAACAATGTTGTCAAAATCACTCAAAATACCCTGTAAAATGCTCATTTTTATTTCTTCGGTAATTAATGTCACCCTACCTCGGAGTGTAAATTTTCCAAACATAGGAGACCAACCGTATTTTGTAGTAAATTTTATGGGTAAATTTTAATTTTTGTAGTAAATTTTGTAGTAAATTGTAGTAAATTTTAATCCCCGATTTTACGTTGATTTTCGATATTTTTGATCATGATGAAAAAATTATTTATCGAATTCATTCTTTTTACTTTTCCATTCAATATCAATCTAGATGTTTATAAAAAATTTTCGAACTTTTTTCGACTTGTTTTAGAACCAAAAAAATTTTTTTCTAAAAGCGGCATAAACTTTTGCTCCCCCAAAATGGGAGGTAGGTAGGGTTTTCCGCCTATAATTTTTGATTAAATTTGGTATGGGAAATGTTTTTTATAAATTTTTTAAATAGAAGGCCTGCTCTTAAAAAATATATAATCGATTTTATTTTCGTTCTTTCTTTTCTCGGGTTATAGTGACTTTTTCCTATGCGAAGCAGTGATGTCAAAGTTCCAAAATTTCTCTGGAACTAGTTCCAGTTCCGGAACTAAGTTTTTAATTTTAGTAGTTCCAGTTCCAGTTCCGGAACCAGGTTTTTAATTTTTGTAGTTCCAGTTCCAGTTCCGGAACTCCATTTTTGAAATTCCTTAGTTCCAGTTCCAGTTCTGGAACTAGTTCCAAGCTAGTTCTAGTTCCAAATTTTTAAATTTTTGAATATGAAAGGATTTACTCCCACAATTGATCCTTGTCAAGTGTTGAGCGTTGAGTGTCAAGTGTTTTGGTCCGTGCCTTTTTTATTTCATTGTAGGAAGGATACGTAGTACTTGACACTCAACACTTGATAGTCGTCCGTGTAGAGTGTTGAGTGTCAAGTGCTTTTCAAGATTTTTTTGAAAGTTAAAACACTTGACACGGATGTCATTGTAGGAGGGTGCATTGACACTCGACAAAACACTCAACAAAACACTCGACACGGATGTCATTATGGGAGTAGTCTAATTTAAAAAATCATTTAGTGTGGGGCAAAATCGCATTCACGTAATCCCGTAACGGGATTATTTTACAAAATTTTTTACAGGACAGGATGCCGCGGGATTAATCCCGTAATTCCGATAATCCCGTTCTAAAATTAGCGGGATCCCGCGGGATTTCGGGATTTTCACATAAAAAATTTTAACGGGGAGATCAGAGGATGTGAAGGGATTAATAGATTTAAAAGGATATCTGGGGATTTTTTGGTGATATCTGGGTTATAAGAGGATTATGAGTGATAACGGAGGATTTAATGAGATTGGAGGATAAACTGGAGGATTAAGAGGCCGAAAAAATCTACTTTTTCAGCGCCGCATGCGAAAATTTTGAGAATTTCTAAGGTCGTAGGCCAAAAAAATTCATTTTTTCAGCGCCGCAGGCGAAAATTTTTAGAATTTTGGAGCTCAAGCAGCCAGATTTCTTCCATACTCAGCGCGCTGCAGGTAATTTTCGAGGAAATTTTGTCAAAAATATACCCCCAAGAACTAGTTCCAGAACTAGTTCCAAAGCTAGTTCCAGACATTTACTAGTTCCGTAGTTCCAGTTCCAAGCTAGTTCCAGGCATTCACTAGTTCCGTAGTTCTAGTTCCAAACTAGTTCCAGATAATCGTTAGTTCCGTAGTTCTAGTTCCGGAACTGGAACTAGAACTAATTAGTTCCGGAACTGGAACTGGAACTTTGACATCACTGATGCGAAGTACAGCGGCATAAACTTTTGCACCTTACTGTATTTTTTTCCTCATTGGCCAGTCTCTAGAAAGTCCTTTTAAGTCAACTCTAAACTTTAAAAATTCTTTTTTTTTCACAAAAATAACATTTATTAATTTCTTTTTAAAATTTTCCTTTTAATTTTCTAAATTTCAATTTTCTTTATTTCAATCAGTTTACATTTTCTTTAATATTTTTTTAAATATTTTTGTCTTTTTTAAATTGAAAAAAAATGTGTTGAATATTTTTGTTGATCGATTTTTACTAGAAAAAATAAAAACAAGCTTTTCTCTTGCTTTACACACAAAAATTGTTTTTTGTGATTTTTAAGCATTTGTGGTCAGCGAATTTCATGGAAGAAAAGAAGGGAGAGATTTGAACTTTTCGGCGCGGGAGTTTTGGCGCCGGGGCTTATAAAATTGTCTAAAAATTACCTAGAAACATGAAATTTTGCACAAACATTGTTTATATAGGTAACTACCTCCTCCAAAAATTTCAAATTTTTTTATTAAATATTTGGGGAGTTATGGGCCAAAAAGTTTAAATTTTTTAGAAAATGTTAATTTTGTTTATTAATTTTTTGTCCCTAACTTCCAAATTCTTCTACAAAAAATTCTAAAATTTGTAAATAATCTTGCCAACCTTGTCTAAAATATTTATAAAGAATTTCGTAATAATTCCAATTTCTCATTTTTGTATTTTTATAATTCCGCGCCGAAACATTCAAACACCTCAAACAACCTAAAAAAGGTTTTTCTATTTGTTTTTATAAAAAAGCAGAGACTATCGTCACTCTTCTATCCGCGCAAGCTCTACCTATTCAATAAAAAAATAAAAAGAAAATTACAAAAAAACAGACAAAAACAAGGCAAAAATATACTAATAACGATAAATATGATACACTCGAAAATCTCACTTTTGGACACATCCTTGAGGTTGAAAATATATATATTATAATTAGAGGTACTAAGGGATATCATTTTTTACCCTTACCTAGTAGCAGTGATGTTACGGGTTACCGAAACCCGGCCTTTTCGACCCGATGCCCGAAACCCGATCCAAAGAAAATTCTAAAACCCGACCAGAAACCCGGCCCGCCATTTTTCTCATCCCGTGACATCCCTGCCTAGTAGCCAAGTTAAAAAACATCTCAAATTGAAGTTTTGTCTAATTTTGAGTGTCTCTAGAAATAAGTAGGACCGACTGTAAATCTAAAATTAAATGAATATTTTAATTAATTTCTTTTAAATTCACGCCTTTAATTCTGCCCTTCTTTTAATTCAGTTTAGGTAATCTTTTTTAAAAATTTTTTTTTCTATTTATAGTAAATACATACTTCTACATATATATTTTCAAGTATTATTCACAACTTTTTTATTCTACCAAAAAAACCCTTTTGTAATTCAACTTAAAATTCTTTTTAAAAAATAAATAAACATATAAATATTTGTAAATTACCTATTTCAATTAAAAAAATTTTTTATTCATTAAAAATAAAAGCTTTTTATTTAAATAAACTTTTAATAAAAACAGATGTGTTTAAAAAATATTTACTTAATTTTCTCCAACTTTGAATCATTCACATTTTATTTATTTTTTAAGCATTGTCTACATATTTTAATTCAACTTTTTTTAGTAAAAATTTTTAAAAATATTTTTGGATTTCTTTAAAATTTATTAAAAAATTAGTACTATTGCATTGTATCACCACCCATCGCCCGCAAAAGTTTTCATGCCATTACTTCCTTTTTTCTCCTCAAATTTCTGTTACTTTAATGAATATCTCTGCCTATTTTAAATCAAGCTCATTTATATAAGTTTATTTATGTACCTGTTAGAGGATTTATTTTTCTAAAAATTTTTAGTTTTTCCTAAATATTCTAAAAAAATTTCTAATTTTTATTTTTTTCCAGTAATTTTAACGGCAACAACAACAAAAATACTAACAACAATTTTTTCGTAACTCCATTTGCAGCCCCACCATCTGACATTAGAAAACAACAACAAAATAATTTCCAAACAAAAGTTTGCTTGCCTCCTCCTTTAAGACAACGTCAAAATAATTTATTATTAAATAATAATTATTTTATTGAACAAAAAACAAAAAATACTAATTTTAATGGAGGATTTAATAATTTAAATAATTCTTTTAATAAATTGTCTGCAAAAAGCCAAGCAGTGATTGCTACTGTTAGGAATTTTTTTATTTTTATTTTTTAATTTTAAAATTAGAATGTTGAACCCTTTTTTGTTCTCGTTTGGTTTTTTGAATTCTCAGGACCCGTATTCTTGGAAATACGGCAAATCTAAGATAAGACGGCACCCTCGGGCCGAATTGAAATAATTTAATAATGAAAGGGAGGTGATATCGGCAAAATCTTTCATTGAGAATGAATAAAAATTAAAGGGAAAAATTGAAGTTTAATGTTTTTGAGTAAAGGATTTTTTTAATTAGGGTAGCAACCCGACCCCCGAAACCCCGTTCCCGACGATTTTTTGTCAAAAACTCCGACCCGAACTCCAAAGACTCTACCCTAGCAAACCTATACCCCGAAGGATCGGATCACTATCCTACCTATTTTAAATTAGCTAATAAGGAGAAAGTGTAGCCCTTTTCTTGACTGACTGACATTAAGTAAAAGATCCAGTATGTTCCCCAAAATTTCCTTTTTTCTAGAAAACTTAATTTAATTATAATTAATTTCCAGGTACATCCACAACCAAAAATTATTTTAAATTCCTCTAAAAAATTGAAAACAAATTTAAATAAAAAAGAAATGGAAGAAGAAAAAGAAGAAGAAGAAAATAAATTAAATAATAGCTCTGAATATACACATTTAAATGAATTATTTAAAGGAAAACAACAACAACAAATAGAACAACAACAACCTTCAACTAGTGGAGAAAATAATAATTTTAGATATTCTTTTAAAAGTAAATATAAATATTTATTTTTTTAATAATTCTTAAAAATTCTAATTAAATTTAAAAAAAGGTAAAGTCATCTTCCTTTCCAATCTCTTACTTTTTAATTTTCTAAAATCCAAAATAAATTATTTTGATAAATATGAAACCATAAAATTGGAACGGCTTCTAAAGAAGATCAGAGGTGAATCGGAATTCCGATTTCCAAATTCCGAGTTCCGACATTTGAGCCATTTTCAATTTCCGACAGTTCCGATTGTCGGCACGTTCGTCATTTCCGATCACCTTTGAAGAAGATGACGGTAAACAGGATTTTGATAGATGAACTAAATTATTGTCTAGGAAAACCCAAAGGCTTTATACAGATTGACAGACCCTAACTCAAAATCATTTTTGGGAAAATTCTAATTTGATATTGTGATATAATTTTTGAGAGAATATTTTTAAAATAATTTTTTAGATGGAGGTGATGAAGTTAGCGTTGCTGGGACAGATTTTAACGAACCATGGGATTCAAATGCTTGGGAGAATTTATTGGAAATAGCCAAATTTGGGGACGCAAAAACAGAAATTCCCCTTTTGAGTGAAAAACCGAGAAGAAGACGAAGCAGTTGTGATACTTCCTCAATTTCTTCTGATGGTTCTACTTGGAGGAGAAGTTCTCCTTCTTCTGAGGACGATAATAATGATGTTGAATATTTAAATAAAAAGAAGGAGAATGAAAATAAAAAAGAAAATTTTGAAGAAGAAAAAGAAAATAATTCAACAGATGATGATATTAATGTTGCTGAAGAAGCTGTTGCTATGGCTGTTGTTTTGGCTGGGAATGGAACTTTACCTAATAGAAAAAAGCCTAGACCAATGGAATGGTTATGTGAAGAAGAATTGTTAGAAAATGAGGAGGAGGAGGAAAATAAAGTAAAAAATTAGGAAAAAATCTACTTTAACTTTGAAAGTTAAAGTAGATAAGCATTAGCTATTTTTATGGAAATATAATTCGGGGATAAGGGTATGGAGTTGTAAATTATGGAAGAAATGGAGTAACCTCTTTCTCTCGAAATAAAATTTCTCAAACAAGGAATTATCACTTCAGAAAAATTTTTACATGTTATCATTCCAGCAAGGGTTTGAGTACTAGAAAATGGAGATCGGTCTGGATCTGGATTGGATTTTTCCTGGTCCTAACCTAAATCCAGATCCAGGATTTTTGTAAATAACGATTTCCAGTAGAGAATTTTCCTTAGACTGGAAATTTAATTTTTAATATAAAGGACGAATGCTCGAATATAGAGAAGACAACCTTCTTTTACCTTGAGAGTTTCTTATCTGATAAACTGATAATAAACCTTATTTATTTGAAGATATCAACTACTAATCAACAACAACTATTACCACAAAATTCTTCATTAGATACTTTAATATTAATTGAACAAGCAGCAAATTCTTCACGTTGCAATATGCCCTCTCAAAGAGTTAGGTGGACAGCAAGAAATAGCCGAGAAGCAAGTACTTCTCTTTTGGATATTCCTTCATCTTCTTCAATACAAAATGAAAATCAACAAAATATTTCACAAAAAGATGGTTAGAAAAAATTTAGAGAATTTTCTACTATTTATGAAATTTAGTTTTTAAATTTAATATTTTTCGCGTCAATAGATTTGGCATTATGTTGTTTTTGGACAAAATGCCATTTTTAATTTTTTCAAAAATTTGTCGAAACAGGATTATTGAGTCCCGCTTGTTGAGTCCCGGAGCCATATTTTGGACCATAACTTTTCCAATTCTTAATCGATTTAGTTAAATAATATAATAATCGAGAGCTCTTGATGTAAGGATTATTTTAACTAACAAGATTGATCTGACCAGATCAACATACAAAAAGTTACAGCCTAATTTATATCAAAAATTACAATTGCGCGCACTTATCTAGATTTAACTTTTTGTAGGGTAATCTGATCAAATCAATCTAGTTGGCGAAAATAATCCTCACATCCAGGGCTTTCAAATGATAAAAGATTTATTCTGATTCGTTGAAAATTCAAAAAGTTATGGCCCAAAATATGGCTCAGGGACTCAACCGGCGGGACTCAATGATCCCCTGCCCAAATTTTTAAAACATCGATCAAATATTGATTGATTTTTTTATTTCGTTAGATTTTTGTTTACTGATCGTTATCTTATTTTCATTTTTTTCAGATAAATTTGATTCAATGGAAGAATTTAATGGAGAAAGTAGTGTAGGACATAGAAGAAGTGAACGTCGATTACGTGCAATGATGGAAAGGTCTATTGGGGAACATCAAACACAAAATATTCACCAATCTGCTTTTCCTTCTGTTGCTGTCTATTCAGCTTCAATGGATGAATTAGGCAGTCAACATAGTCGGACTGGGTCTATTTGTCCATCAATTACGCCTGTTTTGTCTCCTTCACGTTTACGTAATGCTTCACAGGAGAGTCAAGGCGAGAAGGATCCTGCTTTGGTTATTCAACAATATGTTGAGACGTAAGGAGGAAATTTAATTTAAAAATTATGTTTGGGGGTAGGATGGCCAAATTAGGAGTAGGCCCTTGATTTGGAATTTAGACTGGTACTTGTTGGTTATCCCAAACCAGTTTTTGCGGAATGCCTTCGGGAACTAGAGTGAAACGGAGGAAGGAAGACATTCCGACCCTACTTTACTTTATTTGTCCGCGTAAATTTGTCCGCAAATCCGGTTTGGGATAACCCACGAGTACCTTTAGACTTTTAATGTTTCTTGGGTCCAGAGTCAGCTTCAAGGCATTTTTAATGTTCCTTTGATTTTTCGTTGACTAGAGGTTGAGAATCTGTTAAAAGATTCGCCAAATGAAATGAAAAGTCAATGTCCACGCTTTTTGTCAAAATCAATTTTTTAAATTAATAATCTCTCAATCAAACATTTTCTTTGCTTTTTTCTTTTATATTCCTTCAATTAAAAATTTGTCAAAATTTCAAAATTTATTTTAGAAATTATTTTTTATTTTTAAGTTTATCCACCGATGATTCAACAGTTTTTGGAGCAACACTTCAACGTTTTGTTGAATGCACACTTTTAAGTCGAGAACAGGATCCTTATGTAGTTGTTAGACGAGTACGTCAATTTCTTAATGGGTTTGTTTTTTTTTTGTGAGGGATTTTTAAATAAATCCTTTAATTTTTTGTAGAATCAAGAATTATTTGGTTAAAAATGGGGAGGCTGATTTACATTTAATTATTGAAAGAGAAAGTGACCGATTACATGCCGACGAGTTTCTTAATATTGATGCAATTTTGGAATCTGTTTTAAATAAAATATTGCTAGGCAAGTTTTTAAATTATTCCCCCCCCCTCCCTCGCCCCGAAAATTTTTCCTGGCTACGGGCCTGCTCACTATTATTAAAGTAGAAATTGCAGTTTTTTGTTTAGCGGTCGTTTGCTTACCACAGTAAAATCAAAGAGGCATCAATTCCCGAATTTGAGAAAATTTTTGAATTAGGATTCTCTATGCCTCTTTCCATTTATTTTACTTACAATTAGATTTTTAAATATTTATTTTTCAGTCAGAATAAAAGCTCAACTTTACCGTTTGATGATTATGGAGAACACTCGCAACGGCGAATTAGGAAAGCTTACAGAAAATTTGTCTTTAGTCCGTGCAATGAATGCCGAAGAATTGGGATTTTCTGAAGACACAGTTTTGCCTGATAACGTTTTTTTATAAATTTTAAATTTAAATTTTTTTGTATTTTTTTAAGATCAGAATGGAATCAATAAATAAACAATTACGAAAAATGCAAAATCATTATTCGCCATTAAAAAAGCTTCAATTGCTTCTTCGGGCACTAGCTTTGGCAGTTCCTCATTTGCCTTTACTTTCATCTAGTGAATTACAAAGACAACAACAACAACAAAGTTTTGTGGCAACACAACCTAGTAATAGCTCTGTTTTTCTTTCTCCTATTGCTCAAACATCAAATAGTATTGGGGCTGGATGTGGACGTTTAAGGACAAATTCTGGAAGTAGTAGTTCTGGGGCTATGGCTGCAGCACTTAAACATCCGCCTGCTGATGGTATTATATTTTTTTAATTTTTGGAGTTCGAGTAAATGTATGAACCTTTTGTTTCAAGCATTAACATGGACATCAACTCAGATTTCTGACTTTTCCTGTTGAGGAATTTTTTAAAGTGTTCCCCACTTTTTCTTTAATCAAAATTGTCCCGCAGAAAAATTCTTTACTTTTAACAATCCAAATTCAGGAACGTTTCTCAATTTCTCCTCCCCCATTTTCACATTCTTCCTGACTTCACACTGGGCATGTGTGAAGTCAGGAACACGGCAATCTTACTTTTCTACTGGCTATCCTTAATATCTTTAAATCGGTGCATACCCCAGTTTTCGAGAGATTTATATTTTTACACTTTAAATTTTTATTTTAAAATTAAAAATTTTTTTCTAGAACTTATTCGTTGGCTTGTTTATTTATTAGCACGTAGTTCAACTATCAATTGCGAAATTGAAGCATGGTATATGTGGGAATTATTACCTCAACAAGTTTTATCAACTGGTGATGCTTCTTATTTTCTTTCTATTCTTTTTTCTGCTGTTCATGTTATTAAACATCCAGGTTTTTTGATTTATAAATTTTTGGATTTAAATTTAATTTTTTTGCTAACACAGTTGTGCCCCAATTTATAAAAATTTTAGATCTTGCTAATTATTCTTGACGTCCTAAATAATTTTTATTTTTCGGGTTTTCCTTTTTTTTGAATTTTTAATGAAAGTAAATCCGCAAACATTTATGTTCCTTATACCAGGGAATATAAGGTAGAAAATCGGGAATTCTTTTTTGGGCCGAGCCGAGATTTCCCGAAATCGGCAATTTTATTTTTATGTCGGCTCGTTCCCCGTCTTATTATTTTATAATTTTCAATAAAAAATTATTTCAATAATTTTTTTATTTTTTAAGAAATTGTCAAACGTTTAAAAAATATTTCTTTAATGCCTGGTCGACATCCTTTGCCAAATATTGCTGACTTTCTTGGTTCCCAATCGGTTTGAAAAATTATTATTTTTTAATTTTCTCTTAATTTTTATTTTTTTCAGACACTTCAGGACGTTGATGATTTTGCTAATAATAATTCTGATCTTTTACTTCGTGTGGCAATTCCAAATGAACAAGAAGGCTCGATAGAATATCATACATTTCCTGTTTTGCCTAAAATGAATGCTTCTAAATTATGCCGAGTTATTGCTCATCAATTTTCTGTAAAATTTATATTTTTTTTTATTTTATAAAGAAATTCTTTTTTTAAGGTTAGCAATCCGGAAGATTATGGATTGTAAGAATTTTTTTAAATTATTTATTTCAAATAATTGTGTTTTTTAAATCTAGTATTGGGAAAATACACTACTAATTATCTTTAAAAAATTGTTTTTTGGATATTCTCTTTCACTTCCTGTACATGTTGGTTACCCTTTCATTCTAATATCCTTAAATTTTTGCTAGTTCCTTGTCTTGTTAGTTTTGGTAGTTCCTCATTTAGTTTAGCTCTTATAGTAGGATAGGCCTTACCTCGTATAGGTAAGGAATCCTATCTACTCGATTCTCGAAACTCGGGAGTGTTGGTATCTATGGCATTATCTCCAGATATTTTAAGACACAAATCCACAGCTTTAATTCTTCCTCCTTTATATAATATCCAAAATTTATTTAGATATGTTCTCTTTGATGGTTATGAAACAGTCCTCAGCCCAGATGAATTCCCTCATTTGGTACGGGATAATATGATTCAATCTGGTAAAGGCCATCTTTTTGCTTATAAACGATCTGAGACACGAATTGCTTGGCCAAAACAGGCTTTTTCTAATTTTGGGACTTCAACTACCATCCATACAGAAAAAAAGATTGTGGTGGAACCTCCAAAAAATGTCAACATTCATCATCATCATCAACAGCCTCAACATCAACCACAATCCTCTTCTTCATCTTCAAGATTAACATCTTCAAGTAGTGGAAAAGGAGGAAGAATTAAAGCTGTAGCAAGTAGTAGCAACAATAGATTAGCGAATAAGAATAATAATAATATGTTATTTAATATTGGAATGCATGCTTGATATATATTTACATAAAAAATATATTTATTTTTTTATGTTTTGCATTTTCCTTTCATTTTTGTTTTGTTTTAAGAAATGCCAAATATTTTTTATTTGAATTTTTTGATTTTAGAAATATAATAATTATTTTAGTCGAACCTCATTTTGAATAAGTCGAACCTAATTTTTATACTTCCCAAAATTTATTTAATAAATTTGTAATATTTTTTTAAAATTAACTTTAGTGGGTTGGGGAGAAGACTGGGGAATTCTGAAGAATCTTTGGATATCCCGATTCGGAACCGTTATCCGAACTTATAATTAGGAGAATTGCTTAAGAGATCGACCTAATTTTATTTCATACTTAAGTCCGACCTCGTTACTTTAAATAGAAAATTTGGCATTTCTTCTTAAAAATTGGTCTACAATAATATTATTTAAAAAAATTTGTTTTCTACATTTATTCCACACATATTTAAATGCAAATTTATAATTATTCAATTTTTATTTCGAATTGAATTTATTCAGAAAATGGAAGCCATTCTTCTCTATATTAATATTTAATTAGATTTTGACTAAAAATAAAGTTTTATTTAAAAAATTTTTTTGTTTTTTTGGAGAATTTAAAAATATTTTTTTGAAAATTAATTGTTTTAGAAAAAGAAAGTATTTTTAACAGAATTAAAATTTTATTTAAAAAAACTACAGATTTTAAATTTTACAAATTATTATTAAAAAATGTTTCATTCAAAAAAATTATTTTTTTCTTTCACAACTTTTTATTATATTCTTTATTTTCTTGATTATATCCCCGTCCATATTGATAACTGCTGCCATATTTGTCCCCATAGCGATGTTTTGGTTTTTCTTGATAGTATTCTTGTTTTTCTCCATATTGTTGATAGCCTTGTGGTTGTTCATAATTTGGGGGTGGTTGTTCATATGGTTTTGCTGGCTCTTCATATTTGTTGTTGTATTTTTCTGGTCCGTAGCCTTTCTGTTCATAACCTCCTGAAATTAAAAGAAATTCTGGTTTTAATTTAGATTTAATTTCCATTATTTCTGGTTAAATTTCTGGTTAAATTCTGAATTAATTCTGATTTTATTTTAATTATTCTTTCATTCCCTCACCTTCATAGCCTCCTTGTGCCCCATATTCTCCTTGCGGTGGTCCATATTGCGGTCCTTCATAGCCTTCATATTGTGGTGCTTCATATCCTCCTTTTGGCGCTTCATATCCTTTAGGTGCTTCGTATTTTGGTGCCTCATATTTTGGAGCTTCATATTTAGGTGCTTCATATCCCTTAGGTGCCTCATATTTGCCTTCATATCCTCCTTTAGGTGCCTCATAACCACCATATTTTGGCGCTTCATATCCACCTTTAGGTGCTTCATATTTCGGTGCCTCATATTTCGAAGCTTCATACTTCGGTGCTTCATATCCTTGTTTTGCCCCTCCATATTCCTCATTTCCATATTCTCCACCTTTTTTGTATTCATTTCCTCCATATTTCTTCTTTGCCTCTCCACTACCATATCCATAAGATTTTTTCTTTCCATAGTCTCGATGAACACTGTAAACTCTTGGGGAGCAACAAACACAACGAGGATTCTAAAAATAATTTTTTTGAAAAGACTTGTTTAAAATTCCAAAAAAAATTTTTCCCTTACATTTGGAGTTTTTTCATAATTATAATAATTTTGGTAGTTTGTAGCAGGAGAATATCCAGGAGGAGAAGCATATTCACTAGCTGGTTGTTTATATTCCTCTTCTTTTTTGTATTCTGTAGCTGGAGTAGTAGCATAATCTGTAGAGGGTGCTGCATCTCTTTTTGAACGGTACTGAAGGATTTTTGAAAAATTAAAAAAAATTTTTTCAAAAAAAATTACTGGTGGTTTGTGTAAATAGCCAGCAGCAGGTGGATTGTATTGTGACGGATTTACTTCGTCATAGTCAACAACAAAACCGAAAATTGTGTCTTTTGCAATGCTGCGTTCCTTGCGTGCTAAAATTTAATATGAATATTTCTTTGGAAATTTTTTTAATTTTTCTAAAAAACTCTAACCGGCCATGTGGCAACATTTTCTGCAATCTTCATCACTTCCCGAAGCAATTATAGAACAACGAAGTCTTTATTTTAATTTTTATTTTAAAAATTCCCCCAAAATTTACCTGTGTGCTTTAGCTACTTTATATTTATTATAAGAAGAGTGCCCATATTCTCCATATTTTTTGTATTCTTGATCAGCATATTCTGATCGTTTTGCCCTCTTTGCCTTTTCATAACCTGCAGGGTAAGCTGATTGTTTTGCTTCTGAAAATTAATTAATAGAAGAATTCTGGTTTTTAAAAATTTTGATTTTCAGAAAATTCTGGTTTTTGTTCTGATTTATTTTTAAATGTTTTTAATTTTAAAATTCTGGTTTATTAATTCTGACTTAAATTCTGATCAATTTATTTCAGAATTTTTTTAGTATTTCTCTTACCATATCCTGCTTTCTTGTAGCCATTGTCACTTGTCACTCTTTAAATATTTTAAAAATTATTTTTTTTTATTTTTAAAAATTTACACAAGTACTGAGGCATCCAAATCACAAATATAATCTTTAAAAATTTTTTTTTAATTATTTTTTCCTTTAATTACCATCAATAATTCGCCTTCCTTGTCCATATTTCACTTGATAATTATTAGAATAACTATCGTCATACTTAAAATTTAATTTTTAAAATAATTTTTTTTAATTTTAAATTTTTTTAAAAATATTTGAAAAATAAAATAAATTTTTTACTTGTTCGTAGTTTGCCAAAATAAATGAAGAAAATGAGAGGAAGAAAAATATAATAATTTGGTTATTATTAATATTCATTATTAAGTAATTATTTTTTCTAGAAAAAAATTTAGAAAAAAAATTAAATAAATTAAAATCTAAAAACAAATTAAAATTTTTTATTTTCTAAAAAATTTTCTTGAAAAATTTGAGGAAATTTTTTTAATAAATTAATTTTGTTATTTATTTAAATTTTAATTTAAAGGAAAATAAAAATAAATTTTGAAAAAAAATTAATGGAAGAAAATATTTAAAATAAAGATGATTTTCAAGCCTATTTAAATATTTTTAAATTTTCTTTTATTTTTAAAATTTTTCTCAATGATTAATCTCTAAAAGATGAATTATATTTTTTAACGCTTTCTCATAATGTTTGTTACAATAATAAATTGTTTTAATGAGAAAAATAAAAAATAAAAATAAATTTACAAGGATTTGTTGAGTAATTTTAAATTGAAAGAAAATATTTTTTGTAAAATGTTTTAATGTAAGAAAATGAAAGAATGATTAAACAATTAAAGAAAAAATATTTATTGCTAATTTTACACTTCCCAACCAATCATCTTTTAATGAGGGGGTAAAGGTTAATTACTAATGAAAATTGCAATAAAGGACGCTGAAAGGTCAAGAAAAATTTTTTTAGAATTTTTTTAATTTTCAAAAAAGTCTGAATTATCTGAATTATGTATGTCCAAATAAATAACAAAATATTTTTATTCTAATTTCTCAAAAATTTTTTGAAATTTATTTTATTAAATGACTATAGTAATTTAATAATTTATGTAAATATTTTTTTTTATTTTTGTGAGAATAATATTTTTTAAAATATATTTAAATCAACAATAATTATCAAAATTTTAAAAAATCCCCTTTAAATTTGTTTTTTAAAATAATTGCCTAAAATATTTAAAATATAATATATTCAATAAATTTTAATAAAAATTTTTTGGTTTTACGCCGTAAAATTACTTTATTTTAAAAAATTTTCATTTCGGACAAAGGTCGTTCAAGAAAAAATTTTTTAGCTTTAAAGATCCGCCTTTCCACTTAACACATTTTAGCTTTTCCAAGTTCATTGTCCAAAGAAAAATGTTGAGAAAAAAAGGATAGGGAGGGAAGGACAGTTTTTGTGTAAAAATTAAAAATTAATTTTTTTTATTTCCTTTTTCCCAGAGATAAATAATTATAAGGAAATAAAGCTGTAACAATAAAGTGACAGATTTTAATTAATTGATAATTCTAAAAGGATTTTTAATTTTTAATTTTCTCATATACATATTTATTAGAAAAGTTCACAATATTCATTTTAATTTGAAAAAAATTTTTTTTGTGAGAATAATAAATATTTTTTAAAAAATATTTAAATCAACAATACATAATTATCAAAATTTTATTTTATGTATTATTTTTGCATTTATTTTTTAATTAATTCTAATTTTTTTTTAATTTAAATTTTTTAATTTATTTTTTAAAAATTCAAAAAATATTTTTATCAATTTAGTTTCACATTTATTAAATTACCCAAAATGTTTCCAACATTTATTTCTTCTAAACTTTACTTCAAAACATTTATTCTTTTATTTGTTTTCATCTCCCATGTTTTGGCTGTTTCGCCTCCTCCACAACAACATACAACAAACATTACTTTAAATGAACAAACAAATACAACAACCCCTATTCCATCCAAAACAACTGCTTCGACAACAACATTACCTACAACAGCAAAAACATCAACGCCTACAACAACAACAATAAAGGCTACAACAACAACAACGATTAAAACAACAGCAAAAACAACACCAATTTATAAAGTTTGTTTTAAAAACATTTAAAATAATGTTTTGTTTGTTTTGTTTAGAAAAACAATGTTTTGCTTTTATAAAACAAAATGTTTATGAAAAAACATTTTGCTAAAAACATTTGTTTTTGTTTTTAATTAATCATCCAAACATTCTAAAAGTTTCTAAACTTGTTTTTAGAAAAGTCCGCAACAACAACAACAACATTATCAACCAAAAAACACCCAACAACGAAAGAAAATTCTTCACCGTATTAATTATGAAGAGCCAACTAATTATCAATCTTCTTATGAACGACATCCTTATGAAAGGGCTTATCCTCCAAAATATAATAGTCGAGGATATTATGGAAGTGGAGAAAGAGAATATGGGGGAGATTATAAAGAAGGGTATCAAAATAAGGAATACCCAAGTCATAATGAGTATAATAACGAAGGGTATTTTTTAAATCTTTTCAGAAAAAATTTTTTAAATTTCACTAGAAACTATGAACAATACCAAAATGGTCATGAAAAAGAATATTATCCAGCAGAAGAGAAAAAGCCTTATGCTCCTGAAGGGAATTATGTAAGGGAATTTTTTAAATTAAATTAAAAATTAAATAAAAATATCAGAATTATGAGAAAGAATCAGAAGAATATAATAATTATGACGAATATAATCAACAACAACACTATTCCGGTACTTCCCCTTGGGCTTTTGATCAAAATAAACGACATTCTTATGATTGTAAATTTAACCTTTTTTAACTCTTATTTCTTCATTTATTTAAATTTATTAGCTCATTACTGCTCAGTCCACGGTTCGTTCTCCCTTGCTTTAGCTACTAGCTATGGCAATGAATACAATAGCAATTATGGAAAAAGCGAGGAAGGGAAAGGTAAAAAAAATTTAAAATTGTTAAAATCACTAACTTCCCGTATTCATTGACTGATTAATTTGTAGGAAGCAAAAAATCTTGCAAATGATCTTTAAAAAATTTTTTAGTTTCAAAAACTGCCCCTTTAACCTATCTTAAAAAATTTTTTTTAATTTAAAGAATATGATCAAAGTTATTCTCCTACTCCCCTGCCACGTTATCATACACGCCAATTTTGCCGTTTTACTGCTGCAAACAGTCAGAAAGCTTGTCAAATCTGTTGTAGAATTGTTGCTAGAAGTGCTAATACTAGCCCCGTAATTTTCTTTTAATTAAAAAAAATATTTTTTTATTTTAAAGGACGATATAATCTCTACCATCTTTAAATTTGACCCAGCATATCCATCAGCAAATGGAGCAGGAATTGGTGGGGATTATGAAGAAACAAGTTATACGTCTACTTCTTTGTTTCAATGTGTTTGTTGTGCTCCGAAATAAAAATGTATTGAAGAAAAAAATTTTTTATTGAGAGATTTTTTAATATTTTTAATTAATGCCAGAAATATATTTTTATTTAATTAAATTATTTAAATTATAAAATAAATATTTATTTAGTGTAAATTAATTTGAGAATTTGTAGTGTTTTATAGAGATTGGGCTGGGCTTGGACCAAAACCTGGGGTTTTCCTGCACCCAAAGTCTAAGCCCAGGCATGTTTTGACCTTACTGGGTTTTTCCTGGACTACAGGCCCAGGATCTGGCCCAGGTCAATAAATTAAACCCGGAACTTAGGAAGTGTTTAAAGTTTGTAATTGTAAGTATGAAGAACATTGCTTTTAAGATAATTAGTACATTTTAATTGTTTAATAGTTTTTATAAAATGGAATTTATTTTATCAGAATGCTTTCTTGAAATTGCTTAAGATGAGACCACAACTAAAAACCTCTCCTAGTAAAATACCGGGCCGACCACAAAAAGTAAATAAATGCAAAGTGCACTTGTAATGATCGTCAAATTTGACTCAACTAAGAATGCAAACTATTGGAAAAGTTTTTCGTTTTGCCTACTGGATTTTGAATATGAGGGAAATGTATTTTTTTAAAGGCCAATGGATTGAATAAGGATAAAATTTGAGTTGAATTGTTTCACTATCAACCTATTTTGGTCACTAATTTTGGACAAGCTATTAAAAATCTACCGAAAAAACAATTATCTCAACAATTTACATAAGAACAATTTACAAAATATACAATAGCTATACAACAAATAGATCACAATACATTTACAAACAATATATCACAGAGCAATTATCCTCTTTTCTACATCTAGGCTTCACTTTTCTCTAGTCGTTTGCCATCATCCCATTTGCAATTTGCGCCGCCACAGAGCCGTTGGAGTAGTCGGTGTAGTAGGCGTGCGGATTCTCCATTCCCTTGTCCACATAGAATGAGGCACGACGAGCTGCTCGGTAGAGCTTATATTCTGAAAAAATAAAGAATTTTTTTGTGGAAAATAAAAATCAGAAATGTCAAAAACTCACTTGGTTTAGTCTCTCCAACAATGTACATGCGCGGCTGCTCTTCCTCGCCTTCGGAATACACAGTTGCCGTGTCACAGTCACTGGTGCAACGGTCCATGTTTGGGTAGTTGTTGAGCTCAGCAGCCATCAGAGCGTTCATGTCCACCTCTTCCTCTTCTCCGTCACTGTCCGTCACAGCCGTTTCAACTTCCTTTTCTTCCTCCTCCCTCTGCGTCTCATCGGCTGGCAGATCTTCGTCTTCTTCATCTCCCAGCAGCAAATTATCCTCGTTACTGATGGTCTCCCTTGCAGTTTCATGAAGTTCACGGCACGAGTCGACGCCCTCCACTGGTTCGTTTTCTGCTGGCTCGCCCTTCTCGACGGTGATGTCCCGCTGCGTGTCGTCAATGTCATCCGACAGATGTTCCGCGCTGAAGCTGTGTTCCTCCACCTTGATGGCCGTTGTAACCGTAGTACCCATTTGGACTTGTTGAGAAGCGTGTAGATCTGTGAAGAAAATTGAAGATTGGTAAAGGGTGGGATTTAAAGTTTGCTTTTATAGGAACATAAAAAGAACAAATGGATATAGTATAGTATACCGGAGTCAAAATTTCGATACAAAATACATACCATTTGATTCGTCTCGGCGAGCTGAGTCGAGTGGTACCACTCTCTATTCACGGAAATGCCTGTGAACCGAGATATAGGTCCCCGAAAATCGAAAAAACATAGGGGGGAGTAAGCACATTTTTGGGGTTAAAAATTCGAATATGCAAATAATAGCTCATTCGAAAGAGCTCGACGAGCTGAGTCGAATAACACAAAAATCACCGTGATTGAACAAGATTAGACAAAGTTATGACACAAAAAACGAAAAACCTAAACCTATGGAGCGTCGGCGAGGCGCTTGTGCAAAACCCCGCGCTTCGCGCGGGGTTTTGCGGCACGCGCCTCGCGGGGAGTCTACGGGCGCTGGGTCTGGGCTCGTAACATAAACCTATTCTTATCTCCCTTGCGCTGGACGTATTTGTGGCCTCCGTAGCAGCAAAAATCTCCACAGATGCCATAGGTAAGGAGCTAAAATAAAAGATCATAACTTTGTCAAATCAAGTCGGATTTCGGTGATTTTGGTGTCATTCGACTCAGCTTGAGATGCACTTTCGAATGAGCTATTATTTGCATATTCGAATTTTTCACCCCAAAAATGTGCTTACTCCCCCCTTTGGTTTTTCGATTTTCGGGGACCTATATCTCGGTTCACAGGCATTTCCGTGAATAGAGAGTGGTACCACTCGACTCAGCTCGCCGAGACGAATCGAATGGTATGTGTTTTGTATCGAAATTTTGACTCCGGTATACTATACTACAGCCGAACAAATTTCTCTCATCACATAATAAAAAACAAGGTTAAACTCACGGAGAATTGTTAGTATAAAAGCAAAGGTAAAATTACCAACATTAAACACAACAACAAAGGCAACTCTCAAACAACATCCGCAACCTTCAATGGACGACAAGGAGTCTTCTTCTTCAGAACGCGGCACCTTCAGCGGGGAAATGCTTTATCATCTTGATGGGACATCACTTTGCGTGCGTACGTGCCAGGAGCTGAGCAACAACGAAATCGTCAACAACAATGGAGGTCAAAAGGAGTGCTGCAAAAGGCGGGAATGTTATGGCGATTCTTGCTCGCAGGTGGATATGAATGCTCTGATGGCTGCTGAGTGTCTCGAGAACAGCAAGAACATCTACTCTTTGGCGGAAGGTTTGGATACTGCTGCGAGCTACAAAAGCGACCATGACGACAATGTGGGGGACCGGCAAAGTGAGTTTGAACAAAACCAGTTTTTATAAAAGCCTAAATTCTCTGTTTTTTAGGTCGCGGGTCGCATGTTGATATGAATGCTCTGATGGCTGCTGAGGGTCTCGAGAACAGCAAGAACATCTACTCAGTGGCTGAAGGTTTGGATACTGCTGCGAGCTACAAAAGCGATCATGACGACAACACTGCCAAGCCCTGTAGTGATGGTGAAGAGGAGCCTCAATCATTCGTCATTGGAACACTCAAACTGAGTGAGTCTAACAAAAACTGCCGGTCTAAAATCTAATTTCCCTTTTTTAAAGGTCACACGTACAAAGCAAGAACTGCTCGTCGCGCCTCATTCTACGTGGACAAGGGAATGGAGAATCCGCACGCCTACTACACCGACTACTCCAACAGCTCTGTGGCGGCACAAATTGCAAATGGGATGATGGCAAACGACTAGAGAAAAGTGAAGCCTAAATGTAGAAAAGAGGATAATTGCTTTGTGATATATAGATATATATTGTTTGTAAATGTATTGTGATCTTTTTGTTGTATAGCCATTGTATATATTGTAAATTGTTCTTATGTAAATTGTTGAGATAATTATTTTTTCGGTATTTTTAATAGCTTGTCCAAAATTTGTGACCAAAATAGGTTGATATTGAAACAATTCAACTCAAATTTTATTCTTATTCAATCCATTGGCCTTTAAAAAAATACATTTCCCGGCTAAAGTGCACTTTACCGGGCGATTTTAGATTTTTATGATTTATATGTCAATCGAAAGAGCTCATCAAGCTGAGTCGAATGACACCAAAATTAGCCCGCGGACTCAACTATGAACCGAGATATGGGTCCCCAAAAATCGAAAAACCATAGGGGGGACCAAGCTGTTTTTTGGGGGTGAAAAATTCAAATATGCAAATTATACCTCATTCGAAAGAGCTCGTCGAGCTGAGTCGAATGACACCAAAATCAACGAAATCCGACTTAATTTGACAAAGTTATAATCTTTTATTTTAGCCCTTACCAATGGCATCTGTGGAGATTCTTGCTGCTACAGAGGCCCCAAATACGTCCAGAGCAAGGGAGATAGGAATAGGTTTATGTTACGAGCCCAGACCCAGCGCCCGTAGACTCCCCGCGAGGCGCGTGCCGCAAAACCCCGTGCGAAGCGCGGGGTTTTGCACAAGCGCCTCGCCGACGACCCATAGGTTTGCGTTGTTTGATTTTGTGTCATAACTTAGTCTTATCTTATTCAATCACGGTGATTTTGGTGTCATTCGACTCAGCTCGACGAGCTCTTTCGAATGAGGTATAATTTGCATATTCGAATTTTTTACCCCCAAAAAAGTGCTTGGTCCCCCCTATGGTTTTTCGATTTTTGGGGACCCATATCTCGGTTCATAGTTGAGTCCGCGGGCTAATTTTGGTGTCATTCGACTCAGCTTGATGAGCTCTTTCGATTGACATATAAATTGTTCAAATCTAAAATCGCCCGGTAAAGTGCACTTAGGCCCATTTCCCCCATTAAATAACCACTAGGCAAAACGAAAAACTTTTCCAATAGTTTGCATTCTCAGTTGAGTCAAATTTGACAAATGCACTTTCTTGTATGTACTTCACTTGCTTTTTGTGTTCGGCCCGGTATTTTACTCCGAGAGTAAAAAAAAATTCCTCGAAAAGAAAAAGAGTTACTCAAAAAGTTGGAAAGTCCGTGTAACATTCTTAAAACAAAAACACAAGTCGACAATCCGCAGATTTAAATACGAATGATTCATAACCAAACAAGACGACAAATCATGAAATAAACCGTCAAAAAATGCAAAATTTTAAATTAATTACCCCAAAAATTAATAAAATACAAAAATTTACACAAAAAAAAAACAAAATAGTCAATGTCTCGTTTCACTTATTACATTTGTGGCCCTAAAGAGGGCCGTTTGGGTTTGGTTTTTGATTCACAGCAATTCTTCAAGCAGTTTCGCCTGCAGTCTTCTTAGGCAGCAGAACAGCATGGATGTTGGGAAGCACTCCGCCTTGCGCGATGGTCACGCCAGAGAGCAACTAAAAAATTAAAAAGATTGAAAACTTAAATTGAAAAGAAACTCCCAACCTTGTTAAGTTCCTCGTCATTTCGCACAGCAAGTTGCAAATGCCGCGGGTTGATGCGGGTCTTCTTGTTGTCACGCGCAGCATTGCCTGCCAATTCAAGAACCTCAGCGGCTAAGTATTCAAGAACGGCTGCCATGTAGACGGGAGCACCAGCGCCGATCCGCTCAGCATAATGTCCTTTACGGAGAATTCGGTGCAGACGTCCAACAGGAAATTGAAGTCCGGCACGCGAAGAGCGAGTTTTCGCCTTTCCGCCAGTCTTTGCTTTGCCACCTTTTCCTCGTCCTGACATTGTTTTGATAACTGTTAAAGTTTTTGAAAAGCTTGTAAATATTGCTGGTCACAGTGAAACTGTGAGGTGGACAGGAAGAAGTCTTAAATAGAAATGAAAGAAAAAGGGCGGTCTTTGTTGCCGTGTCCGGACAAAATATCGAATCGTTAAAATATGGAATAGGCTAAAAAAGGGTTAAAATCTCGAATCGGGTAAAAAGGGGTTAAAATCGCGAATAGGCTAAAAAGGGGTTAAAATATGGAATCGTTAAAATATGGAATGGTTAAAATATCGAATAGGCTAAAAAAGGGTTAAAATATGGAATCGTTAAAATATGGAATGGTAAAAATGTCGACACGGCCAAAATTGGTCAAAATGTCGAATTTTTTAAAAATGGCGCCAAAACTAGAATCCGGACGGTACCGTAATACCGATGGTATTTTTCGGTATTCCGTGTCGGTTGTACGGTACGGAATGCCTTCCGATAAAATTTAAAAGCTGATCGGTGTTTTTCGGTATTCCATACCGTATACGGTAAGGTCAAACTTTAGGTCTTAACTAAAAACTAATGCACACCACTATAATTTTTCCATATCAGGATCGCGTTATGTTTTCCGGATCCGTACGATCATGCCGGACCGGATCCGGTGTCGATTATGCTTAATTTATCCGGTCCGGTTTTACTCCGTAAAATACACTGAACTCGGGCAGAAAAGATTGCGCCGGACTACGACATAAGAGACTTATCAATCAACTTATCATCAATAAGTTGATAAGTTGATAAAATTATCAATAATCAATGTATGGCACTCATCTGACCCTTTTTTAAAAGAATTCGACATTTTGACCGATTTTGGCCGTGTCGACATTTTTACCATTCCATATTTTAACGATTCCATATTTTAACCCTTTTTTACCCGATTCGATATTTTAACGTTTCCATATTTTAACGATTCGGTATTTTAACCCCTTTTTAGCCTTTTCGCGATTTTAACCATTCCATATTTTAACGATTCCATATTTTGTACCGGAGCCCTTTGTTGCTGAAAAGAGACGCAGAAACGACGCCATGGTGTGAGGCAGGATATAATAAAGATAGTGTTGAAATTGGGGACTAGATAATCAGACAAAATTAAATATGGAAGGGCTCCTATACAACTCATCTAATCGTTAACTCATCTATTCGTTAACTCATCTACACGGCCAAAAAGGGTTAACTCATCTAATCGTTAACTCATCTATTCGTTAACTCATCTACACGGCCAAAAAGGGTTAACTCATCTAATCCTTTAGAACGAGACTATTGAGTACCAGTCGTTTGAGTCTCTGGCCATCTGAGTCTGGCCGTTTGAGTCTCCGGCCGTTTGAGTCTCTGGTAAGCAGGGTCCATGGCCGTTTGAGTCTCTGGTAAGTAGGGTCCATGGCCAGTTGAGTCCATGACCAGTTGAGTCCATGGCCAGTTGAGTCCATGACCAGTTGAGTCCATGGCCAGTTGAGTCCATGGCCAGTTGAGTCCATGACCAGTTGAGTCCATGACCAGTTGAGTCCATGGCCAGTTGAGTCCATGACCAGTTGAGTCCATGGCCAGTTGAGTCTCTAGCCGGTTAAGTCCCTGGTCAGTTGAGTCCCGGCCGTTTGAGTGGTTGATTACCGCCGGTTGAGTCTTGGGCCGGTTGAGACTCAACTGGTCATGGACTCAACTGGTCATGGACTCAACTGGCCATGGACCCTACTTACCAGAGACTCAAACGGCCATGGACCCTGCTTACCAGAGACTTAAACGGCCGGAGACTCAAACGGCCAGACTCAGATGGCCAGAGACTCAAACGGCCATGGACCCTGCTTACCAGAGACTCAAACGGCCGGAGACTCAAACGGCCAGACTCAGATGGCCAGAGACTCAAACGACTGGTACTCAATAGTCTCGTTCTAAAGGATTAGATGAGTTAACCCTTTTTGGCCGTGTAGATGAGTTAACGAATAGATGAGTTAACGATTAGATGAGTTGACCCTTTTTGGACGTGTAGATGAGTTAAGGAATTTTAGCCGTTTAGATGAGTTGAACGTTTTTGGCCGTGTAGATGAGTTAACGAATAGATGAGTTAACCGGACACGTATGGAAGAAAAAACTTTCTTTAGATGTCTAACCCATTATCTTTACTTATTTTATTTTCTCTTTCTATTACATAAAATCTTGTTTTATAATTTTTGGCGGGCAAGCTAGCTTCATTTTTTTCTTGTTGTGGGCGTGTTAAAAAAATGACCGCAATATTTAAGACTTTTTCCTAGGTTTGACCCTCACTTTTCAAAAGTAAAAAGTGTTCTTCAACTTAAAAACAACAACAAAGCTTTACAACAAAAATGGCTCGTACAAAACAAACAGCTCGTAAATCTACTGGAGGAAAGGCGCCGCGTAAGCAGCTTGCCACCAAAGCTGCGCGCAAATCTGCACCGGCAACTGGAGGTGTGAAGAAGCCACATCGCTACCGCCCAGGCAAGAAAAAATATTTTAGCTTTGTCTTATTAAATACTTAAATTTTTCAGGAACCGTAGCTTTGCGTGAAATTCGTCGTTATCAAAAATCGACTGAATTACTTATCCGCAAGCTTCCATTCCAACGGCTGGTTAGAGAGATTGCGCAAGACTTCAAGACCGATCTTCGCTTTCAATCTAGCGCTGTTCTTGCTTTGCAAGAGGCTTCTGAGGCATATCTTGTTGGTCTTTTCGAAGATACCAACTTGTGTGCAATCCACGCCAAACGTGTGACCATCATGCCAAAGGGTGGGATTTGAGGAATTACTAATCAATTTTTAAAAAAATTAAATTTTTAGACATCCAACTTGCCCGACGAATCCGTGGCGAGCGTACGTAGATGAATGCAGTGTGAACACAAACAACCAAACCCAAACGGCCCTCTTTAGGGCCACAAATGTAATAAGTGAAACGAGACATTGACTATTTTTTGTGTTTTTTGTTTTAATTTTCTTTTTTTTTTAATTTTTGTGGTAATTTATTTAAAATTTGGCATTTTTTGACGCTTTATTTAGTGATTTGTCGTCTTTTTTGAGTATGAATTATGCGAATAGAATTCTGCCAACTTGTTAGTTTTTGTTTTTTTCTATTTTAAGAAAATTACACGAGAGCTGGGAAACTCTAAATTTTGTTCTAGTTATTAACTTTGACAAATTGTAAGGTTTTTTTAGAACAGGAAAATTATTAAATCAAAACATATTTAAAAATCGTATAAATTTTCTATTAATTTTTTTTAATTTCCAACTTTTTGAGCAACTACCCAAATATTGAATATTTATAGTGTGGCAGGATAATACTTGGAGTCAGGATAAACCGCCGGCCGACCAAACGTCGATCATACGATGATTAGGATTACCGGCCATTCTACCTTACGGCTATTTGTTCAGACCAGGACCCAATAGCATTGAAGTAGAAGATACATAACGGCTTACAGGGTGACTGTGTCTTTTATTCTACTTTAACCGGGTAATTTTTTCCAAATTTCTTAATTTTTCGAGGCGGACAAGCCAAAAAGTTTTGATACAATTTGTTTACTAGCGTAGTTTATGTGACGGCCCTGCTAAATTTTCAAGTAGGTTGAGAATTTTGCTCAGCAACATTTTTTTAAAAACGCAAGCCAAGCTGTTTTGTTTTTGCCCGCCGATTTTTAGTATTTTCTCATCGAAAAGGCATAAAAGAACAAAAAGCCTTCTAAAATGGAACTAAATGTTGGTTTTATTTTCAAGGAGACATAGGTGAACAATGTTAACAGCACAACATAAAAACCCAAGCCATATAAAAATTAAATGTGAATAACAAAATAGTTGATGATTAATACAAGGAATTGTAAAGTAATGGGAAAAAATAATTTTATGAAAGAAATAGGGTGATTTGGAGAGGATATACATAGGAAGAAAAAGGTTGATATCGGGATATTTGAGGATCTTCTTAGTTGCTGCGATATTTGTTCGAGGATCTACCTCATGTAGTGTAATTTTATGAAGATAATTTATTTTTCAAGCATTAATTATTCTACTTTGGCTAAAACCTCATCCACTTTACAACCTGGCCTAGTTGTTTTTTTAAAGATGGAAAATAACGATAAAAAAATTATAAACCGTAGAAAACATAAATTTGAGATTTGTAAAATGGAATTATAAACAGGAGCACATCGCAAACGCATTCCATTCTCCAGCTACATCAAAATAAAAATACCGTATTTTTCCTAATAGTGCGACCGGTCGGTTTATTTTTCAACCATCCTCTAGAGGGTCGGTTTAATAGAAAGGGTCGGTCTAATAGAGACAGTCGGTTTATTTTTCGACCTTCCTCTAGGGGATTTTCGGCTCTAGGGGTTTTCGCCTTTGGCGGTGAAAAAGGAAGAAATATGGCACTTTCGCCTCCAATTCTTCGAAATTTTCCCATGCGGCGCTGACAAGGAAGAAAAGAATTTAGAAAACCATCGATGGATTAAGAGAATCCACCGAGGCCCTATCCCAAAATACGGGCGGAATCGTTTTTTTTTCGTTAAATGTAAGGAAAGGAAAAATGAAGAAAAATGGAAAGGAGAAAGGAGACGGATGGACACGGACAAATAAAACACGGACGGACTTGGGCAGACAAAACACGGACGGACAAAACACACATACCGTCCGAGTTTTGCTGTCCGTCTTCGTCCGTGTTTTGTCTGTCCGTCTTCGTTTTCCTTTCCATTTTTCCTTTCCTTACATTTAATGAAAAAAAAACGATTCCGCCCTTATTTTGGGATAGGGCCTCCACCGATATCCTTCTTGATGTTCTCGATAAAACTTGTTTCAAGTAACTGTGTTTAAATGCCCCGCTTTTAACCTAATTTTAACTAATTTGTTTATTTATTGCGAAATTTTTTAATTTTTTTTTTGAAAATCAGGATTTTCCTGATCAGGAAATCCGATCCGGATAAGGAAAATTTTGAAAATCCAGAAACCGAATCCGGCATTTTTCAAACTTTGCTCTATAAAAGAATATGCCTATAAAATATAAAAGACAACATTAACGCTGGAAGTAAGGGGGTCGGTTTAATAGAAGGGGTCGGTCTAATAGAGACAGTCGGTTTATTTTTCAATCTCCCTCTAGGGGGTCGGTGTATTAGGAGGGGTCGGTCTAATAGGAAGAGTCGCACTATTAGGAAAAATACGGTACATACTATTCTAAAATTCACTGGTAAAAACCAAAAATTTTATTTGAGGTAAAGCAAAAAAAAAAGAAAAATAAATTTATACAAAATTCAAATAGTAAATGTCTCGTTTCACTCATTAAATTTGTGGCCCTAAAGAGGGCCGTTTGGGTTTGTTGTTGCAGTTCAGCTGCCTTCCACCAATTGTTCTTTAGCCACCAAATCCGTAAAGAGTACGTCCTTGGCGCTTCAACGCATAGACGACGTCCATGGCTGTGACCGTCTTTCGTTTGGCGTGTTCGCAGTAAGTTACCTGGGAAATTAAAAAGTCAAAATCAAAAAATTTTCTTAAAAATCTTACTGCGTCGCGGATCACATTTTCAAGGAAGACCTTCAGAACACCTCGAGTCTCCTCGTAAATGAGCCCGGAAATACGTTTCACTCCACCACGACGTGCCAATCGACGGATTGCCGGCTTTGTGATTCCTTGGATGTTATCACGCAAAACTTTTCGGTGACGCTTAGCGCCTCCCTTTCCAAGACCTTTTCCGCCTTTACCACGTCCGGACATGTTTGGTCGTTGTTGTTGATAGTTAAAATTTTAAGCAGCAAAAGTTGAGTACAGCGAACTGTGAGGAATTTTGTTCGTTTTCTGCTTTTATACGAGCTTGAACTTGTTAGATGAAAATGGAGGCGTTACCTAATATTTTGCTGTTGAAGAAAAGAAATATGGCTTGCAATTTCGTCTGCAACTCTCTTTTTAAAAATAATTACTATTTTTATTTTTCTCTATTCACTTAATAGTTAGACATTATTAACGGTTAGACAATGTTTGAAGGGGACGCTTTCTTGTTCTCTAACCTTAATGTGACAACAAAAAGGCGGGCATTTCTTTTTGTATAAAAGTCTTAGGTTGACCATTATTCCTCATTTTCCAACCGCTTTAAAAACAACGTTCAAAACAACAAGCTAAAAATATTTAAATGGCACCTCCAAAACCTTCTGGTAAAGGAGCGAAGAAAGCTGTGAAGTCGACGAAAGCTGTGCGTACTACCGACAAGAAGCGAAGGAAGACGCGAAAGGAATCATACTCGGTCTACATCTACCGTGTTCTCAAACAAGTCCATCCGGACACTGGGATTTCCTCAAAGGCAATGAGCATCATGAACTCGTAAATAATTTTGTTTTTACTTTACAATATCAAATTTTATTTTCTAAGGTTTGTCAACGACGTTTTTGAGCGAATTGCTGCTGAGGCCTCGCGTCTTGCGCATTACAACAAGCGCTCCACCATTTCTTCTCGTGAGGTGCAAACGGCCGTTCGTCTGATTCTGCCTGGAGAGCTGGCAAAGCACGCAGTTTCTGAAGGAACAAAGGCGGTGACGAAGTACACTTCGTCAAAGTGATTGGCAGAACAACGCCACCAACAAACCAAACCCAAACGGCCCTCTTTAGGGCCACAAATTTAATGAGTGAAACGAGACGTTGACTATTTTGTTTTTTCTTTGATAAATATTTGATTATTGTATTTAATTTTTTGCTTGTATGGAATTTTGGGATTTGTTTTTAAATAAAAAATTTGTTTAGTTTACCATTACTATTTTTACTGGTTCGTTTCACGACACGGTGTTCTTTCTAATTTTGTTGATCTCTTAAAAACATTGATAGGTTTCAGCCATATTTTCATTTTATGTTTTGAATTTTAGTGTTGATTTATTTTGTAATAGCGTTTTTCAGTGCTACGACTTTACTGGTTAATTTGTCAGCTGTCCAAAGCTAGCATCCACCATTCGAGTCTGCATTCTCAGAGTGGCAATTTTTAATTTGTTTTGTTTATTGCATTTTTATTGAATTAATTTTAGGTAAAATTTAAGTTAAATTCTTGTCAAGTTCTCCTTAATTTTGTCAAATTCTTAATTTCTTCTGATGAATTCAAATAAACCTGTCTTGCCACAGAATGTTCTTTCAATGCGTTTTTATGCTAATTGGGATGTTGATCGTACTTCTTCCTCAATCGCTGTACAAAGGTTTATCGAAAATATTTTTTAGAATATTTCAAAAATTTTTCAGAACTTTGTCGATGGTTTTTACCCGTCTAGTCCTCACAAAAACATTAATTACCTCTGAAACTACTCCTTTTACTATTGCTGTTAGATTACAGGTTTTTAATCGAATTTTTGTTTTATGTATAATTTTAAAAAAATATTAGGGTAATCGTCGCATTTTACGCAGTAATGATTTATGCATTTCTCCCACAAAACTTGAAACTCCACTTGATATTTCTTTTACAATCCAATATTCTCATTATGTCAAAAGAAAATCAAATAATCTCCAAATATTAATTCAAAGACGTAAACGTTACAAAAATAGACAAATTCCTGGATTCAAAACTTTGGCAATGGGAAGATTAAATTTGGACGAAATTTTACAATTTGGTGGTTCTAGAGAAATAATTATTTGGGATGCTAGTTGTTTAAATAAAGCAAGGCATTCAATGAGAGGTTTGGAATTTATAAATTTATAGTTTTATGGGTTAAAAGATTAAATAAAACGGCTAATAAGATTATGACTTGTAATGCGAGTTAGTTGCATAGGTTAGAATCGTTATCGACTCATTATGATCTTTTCAATATTTTTATAGTTAAACATTTTATAAATTTTAGAGCTCCATGCCGGCAAAATTTACGTCAATTCTTGCTTCACCTCATCTGCAGAATCGCCGGAACCTTATTCCGGCCCATCCAGTTCTAGAAGACGGCAAAGACTTGTTGCTACAGTTAGTGAAAAAGAGCCAATGGTTTTGAGTGAAGAAGAGCCCGAAGAATTTACAACTGGGGAAGAAAGTGAATCAGATATGGATGACACTCCGAGAGGACGTTCTAATGACCAGGTAATGAAAATGATTTTTTAATTATTTTTTTCTTATACTATTTTATTTTTATTATTTTTAATATTTGTAGCGTCGGCAGAAAAAATTTCTTAAACAACGAAATATCAAACAACGAATTGTTGCTCTTCTTCGAAAATTTAAACCTGAAGATGAAGTATTTGTTTATTTAACAATTTTATAATTTTAAATAATTTTTAGACTGTATTAGAATGCCCTCTTTCTTCTCGTTCTATAGTTCCTCCAACAGAGCAAGAATTGGAAGAAATATTTGAAGAACTTGGAAATATTAGTGATTCTGGCCCGGAACTTGAACCTGACAAAATGAGGTTTTCTTTTGAGTTTCTTTTTTAATTTATTTTTATTTTTTTCCTGATAGTATTGTAAGCAATCCACGACCAAAAATCCGTCCATTCTTTGGCTCTAAATCAGATATTATGCCTCCCATTGAAGATTATCGAAATGACGAATATCCTTTTCTTTCGGATGAAATTACTGATGACAGCGAGGTTAATTTAAAAAATATTGCAAATTTTTTGGGTTATGATTAGGTAGCTTTATGAAAATAAGTAATTGAACTGATTGTTTTGATTTTTCTAAATTTTATAAGTGAATGTTGTCTATTTCCTAAAAACATAATACTCATGCCCGTAGACAAGTGGGCTGAATAAGGAAGAAATTTTTGGCGCCTTCGGAGCCAAAAATTCGGTTTAAAAAATTTTCCTCACTTGCCCTCCCCGGAAAAAATCCTGGCAACGGGCCTGTACATACTATACATGCTAAATTTTTATTAATAATTTCTTTCAGTTTGCAAGTTCCAACGATGATATCCAACAATCTCAACAACAAAATAAACGTGAATCTGAACCATTTGATGTGGTATTATTAAATTTTTTAAATTTCTTTTTGAATTTATTTTTTAGTCCCGAAAGGAATCTCATGGGAAACCGAATTTTTATGTTCGTCCTCCTTTACCTCTTACACATTCGGAAACTCTTCAATCAGTATTATCAAACAGCGAACCTCCTCAAAACAAAGTTGTGCTTGATTCTATGGAAGATTTGGTAAATTTTGATTTTTTTTTTAAATTTTAATTAATTTTAGTTGAAACGGTTGGATAATTTGTCAATGTCAAATAACCAAATTATTTCCGAACATATATGGATTTGTTCAAGTAAAGATTTAAATTGGCTTTCTAAAGGTTTCTGAATGAAGTTTCTTATAAAATTTTAATCTTTTTCAGTTAATTCAAAAGCATTAGAACCAATAAACCTTTTTGATTGCCCAACAGAAGGAAGTGTTAAAATGATGTTACAAGCTGTTATTGGAAAAATACAAAATTTGTTAGTTTAAAAATAATTTTTTAAAAGAATTCTTTTATTTTTTCAATGTTTTTTAGTTGTAATTATAATTCAATTTCTCCGCCTGTTTCAATTATTGGAGTTTTGGGAGGGGATCATTTACTTTCAAATATTTTGCGCGCTTATGTTCACTTATTACAAGACAAGGTTTTTTAATTAAAATTTTTTTTTAATTTTTTACTTAATCGTTTTAAAGGCTTGCAAAGAAGATTGGCTTTATTATTTACGTTTTGCATTAGTTTTACCACCAACTAGTGCTATAGGCCGTTTGCTTAGTCAAGTAGCTGGTTTTGGTGGTTATTCTGAAGCTATTTGGAAGGTTTCTAATTTTAACAAAAATATTTTTTTAATTTATTTAATAGGTAATTCAAAGTGTTTCTTATGCCTTTCGTGAAGAAAATTATTCCAATCTAACTGATCAATTAATTGAAATTCGAAATTGTCTTGTCGCCCTCCAAGGCTCTCAGGAAAATAAACGTTGTACAAATTTACAAATAGGAGAAGCAATGTTACAATTATGTAAAAATAAAAGTGGTGGAGGACAATTTGGTTATAAAGGTGAAAATGGAACATCTGATATTCTAAATGGAAAATTACAGGTTTATTTTAAAAATGCCTTCCTTTTAAAAATGCCTTGCTCTTGACTCTGGATCCAGGAAAAATATAGGTCTGGATTCTATCCAGCTCGGTCTCTAGCAATCCTTAATTAAAATTGTTTTGTTGTTGTCCCTAAAATTAACAGAAAAACAGATTAAAATTTTCACTTTGGATTATCCAATGGCCTTGTGAGGATTATTCCAAGTTTTAGGATCTTCGGTCTTGAGTATATTAGATGACTAGGATTCGAGAATGAGAAAGATTATAATTTCACTTATCAAAAAAATTTTTAAAAAGGTATTTGTCCCATTTCTTGCCGAATTATTAACTTGCTCTACGGTTGGTGGAGAGCAGCCATCAAACAGTGAAACTTCAACAAATCTTGCATCATTACATTTTATTAGCAGTCAAACTGCACAGGCTGATGAGCATTTAACTGAGGTTTTTTCTTATATTTTTTTAACTTAAAAATAATTTTTGAAGTTCTCACCTGAATGTTCTTCAATAGATGCAAATATTGCCAATTCTATAAATAGCTCGGCAAAAACCCCTAGGTCAATTTATAATCCAACACAACATTCACACTCTTCTCCAAGCATTCCATCTGCCTTAAATGCTTTGGCCAATACTGCAGGAATTGAATTGAAAGAAAAGGAAATGAATGAAGATGATATAGAACAGAAACATCAACTACAGCAGCAGAATGTTAATACTTCCCCGCAACGAAATGTTGGATCTGTAAAGTAAATTCTTTTTAGAAATTTGATTAGGGGGTTTGTCTTTCAAATAAACATTTTTGATGGAATTCTCTAAAATATATTCCTTTTTGTTAATTTTACCTTCCCTTAATTTCTTCTCTAATTTAATATAGGTGAAGCTACTTAAAATCCTTTATATTAAAATTTTCTAAAATTTTCTATAATTGTTATACAATTCTTATGTCATTTTTTTCAGAATTTTACATTCAACACCAACTGGTACAGAACCTTCGACTTCAACATCTTCTCCATTAACTCGTGAACTCCAAATTGAATATTGGACAACTTCAAATTATCCTTGTTCTCCACCAGCATTTACACAACAGACAACACAATCCTCTTTTCATAACGATTTTTGTAGTCCATCAACTAGTAACATTTCAACAACAAGTGGTAGCAAGTTTTCAATGAAAGCGTCAGTTAGAACACTTTCGATTGCACGTGAACCTTTGAATCATTTGTTGTCAATTCTTTTTGTGAAGGAAAGGAAAAAGGATAAAGTGCTTCAGAAATTGGGAAGGAGAAGTAAACAGGTATTTTTTTAAGATTTAAGGGAACTTGTGTGGAGGATGGAGTGGAATGGAATTTTTTTTTCCAAGGGAATATTTTCAAAGAATTATTTTCGGTATTGGATTTTAAAAAGTCTCCGAGAATCTGAGCACGGATTTTGTTGGATCTTTTGCCTACCACTCTTATTACTATCGATGATTTAGAGTGTTTAATCTGACTGTTTCACAGAATCCAACAGGCAAAATCCAACAGAATCCGTGACAAGATTCTGTGAAACTTTAAATGAGATTTTTAAAGACCCATTGATATAGGAAGAGGTTTCCTTAATTTTTATTTCAATCAAAAATAATTTTTGAGAAATCATTTGAAAACAACTCTGCCGGTTTTTGTGCACAAAGTCGAGTTGTTTCTGGTGTAACTCGAATTGTTTGTACTTGTGGAGGTGGTGGAATTGGTAAAAAAGATGCTGGAATGAATGTAACAATTGATGGAGTATTGTGGAAAGGTGTTCGATTTTTTCAAATCTCTGCCCAATGGCAAACTCATGTCAAGCTATTTCCTGTTACTTTTCCTATGGATTTACCTCTAATGTCGATCTTGCCAACTTGAAGGTTTTTTGTGACTTTTATCAAAAGAAAAGATATATTATATTTAAATTGGCTTTGATTATGAGAAGGAATTCCTAGGGTTAAGGGGTTGACATTTTTCAACTCAACGCTTGCTCCGTTACTCTGTTACAAACCTAAAATTTTTCCTGGCATGTTTTTTAAATTTTAACAGATTTATAAGAGTCAATCCATGAAAAGTATTTTAATTTCAAAATATTTAAAACAAAAGGTTTAATTCCAAAAAGAACTTTTTTTAAGAAATCGCATATCAAAGCCTCTAAATACTTTAAAAAATATTCCAAAATTATTCTTGTATCATAATTTTTTCATTGTTGCCTTTAAATTGATTTAATAAAAGATTTTAAAAATCTAAATAAAAAACGTTTTTAATTATTAGCATTTTCTTTAATGAATACAAACACATGTACATATGTCGTTTTTAATATTTTAATTTATTAAGTGCTAATTGTAAGGATGACCAAAATAATTTTATTTTTGAAGTTGTTTTCATATTTTTTATTTTTGATTCCATTTTTGGGAGGGAGATGGAAGTCGAGAGACTGTTTGTACTATTTTCAGAAAGTCTGGAATGAGATTTAATCTTTCCGACAGATATTCTCTTCCATCCCTTAAATTTCTCATCACAATTTTACAGATTTTTATGAGAATTATTCGCCATTTTAGTAGAATAGCTACCGTTTTGGCTAAATATCCACTCAAAATGCAATTAGACTCTCCTGAATTTCATGCTCTTTTTACTCCAGAATTAAAAAAACTTTCTTCAATTTTTACCTCTAATGGATTTGAATTAAGGTTTTTTTAATTTTCAATAATTTAAAATAAAATTTTTTTAATAGAATGGCTGGAGGGGCGGTTAGGGATTTGTTAATGGGTGTAAGGCCTTCAGATGTTGATTTTGCAACGGATGCAACACCTTTACAAATGAAGGAAATTTTTACACAGGAACAAATTCGAATGTTAAATAAAAATGGAGAAGAGCATGGTAATCAATAATTTTTATTTGAAATTTTGTTTATTTTCTAGGGACTATTACATGCAGAATAGATGACAAAGAAAATTTTGAGATAACGACGTTGAGGTATTTCTAATAATTTTTTAAAAGTCATTTTGTGATGGGGTCTTTTTTAATTTTTTGTATTTGTTTTATGCTCCTAAAAGGTCATTGATTTTATTTGATAAACCATGAAGGCTTACTGGCAATTTTTTGGGAAAATAGATGAAAGAATTTTTTCGATGATGTATTTTCCCCCAAAATATTTTTTTAATTTTTTAAATTAAATTTTTTTTAAATCAGAATTGATGTAGTTTGTGATGGGAGAAGAGCAGCAGTTAAATTTACAAAAGATTGGGAAGAAGGTTTTTTAAAAAATTTTTTAATTTAAGGAGTTTACTTTTAGATGCATTTCGAAGGGATTTAACAATAAATTCTTTATTTCTCGATCTCGATGGATTTGTACATGACTATACTGGGGGAATTGAAGATATTAAAAACAGAAGAATTTCTTTTGTTGGTGACCCGGTTATCAGACTACAAGAGGTTTTTTTGGATTGAAGAAAATTTTAAAAATTAATTTGAGGATTTTCTTCGTATTCTCCGCTATTTTCGATTTTTTGGGCGCTTTGCCCCCGTTGGCGCTACACACGAACCTAAAAATATTGAGGCTATTATAAAATGCAAGGATGGTCTTAAGGTTTGTTTTAAGTTTATTTTTTTAAATTAATTTGTTTTTAAAAAGTTAGAGACCGGAAAATCAAATATTTGGTTAATAATATAAAACATTTTCTCCACTTTCCCCTCATTTTTTCTTTAAAATCGTGGTTAAATTTAAAAAAAAAAAGAAAAATTTAATTTATGTCAATGGAGGTTAAATACCAGAAAAAATTGAATATTCTTCGAAATGGTTTAACAAAATTTTTGTTAATCTAATAGAAAATTTTTTTGACTTTCTTCGAATATTAATTGAAAAATGAAAAAAATTTCATTTTTTTATTTAAAATATTAATCTGGACAAATTATGAAAATTATTGTCCATTTTTTTTCCAATGAAAAAATTAATTGAAAAAATTAATGGAAATTCCCTAAGTATTTGATCAAATATTTTGATTTGGGCATTCTGGTCTCTAATATCGATTCATTTCCTCTCTTTTATTTTTAACATTTTATTTTTTAGAATATAAGCGGTGAAAGATTATGGATGGAATTCAACAAAATTTTAATTGGAAGAATGGCTTCTTCTGTAATTAAAGAAATGCTTTTAACGTGTAAATTGGGGCCTTTTTTGTGTTTGCCTGAAAATGTAGGATTTGATGAATTTGAAAGAGTGGCTAAAGTAAATTCGCCTAAAGGAGAAGATGGACCTTTGGCTGCAGCACCAAGCACTTTATTAAGTGCTTTATTTAATAAGATTGAAGATGTAGAAAGATTTCAGGTTTTTTGAGTTATTTGAAGAATTGTAAAATTAGAAAGGGAATATTGTGGGAAAAGATTTTGATCTCACAATCAGAAAATTCTAAATTTATCTAGCTCCAAAACCCTTAGATTTTTGTTCTCCTATTGGACAAGGAGAACAAAGAACAAGGAGATTCAAAAGAAATTTAAGAGAATTTTTGAACTAAACCTAAATGAACAACAAATCTCCAAAAATCATATTGAAGGTCTTATCATCTACATTTAATTTAGTTATCAGATCTCATTCTAGATTTTGGGTATATTAGAAAGCAATTGGGGAAAAGGGTTTCCTACAAAGTTCCCAATTCTTGACTGAATTAAAATTCCATTTTATTTTTAATTTTTATCAATTTAATTCTTCTAGTCTCGTTGTAAATGTTCAAATGCAGAAAAATGGCTATGTGAATTAATTGTACAAAAAAGAGAGGAGGCTATGAAACACAAAAATGATATTAATTATTTTAAGTATGCAATTTTGGATGAAATATTTGAAAGAGGAGGTTAAAATTTAGAAAATAATATTGTTTGAGTAATACCAGAAAAAATTTTAGAAATAGGAGAGCATCCATATCTCTCTATCTCTCTTGTTGCAATCATACCTACTTTTTGGACACCTTTTAAAGCCTAGAAATTGTATCTTGTAGTTAGGGGTATTTTAAATAAGACGGTAAATTAAAGAATTATTTCCTTTATAGTCTTTTTTGGGGAGTTTTATGTATAAAAGCGAGATGCGAGTAGCTGGTAAATTTACCTGATTCTCTTACTCGAGTAAATGGAACACAGAGTTGCTGATTAACCTTATTGGAAAAAATTAACCTAGACTCGCTGATTACCCGCAGCTTGGAAAAACAACCTCCCTCCCCCAAAACTTTTTTTGGAATAAAAAAAAAGAGAAAAAATAAGAAAAAACACTTTTAGTATTATTCATAAATTTTTACAAAAATATTCTTTTTAAAACGATTTTTAAAAAATATTAAAAAATATTTTTCTTAATTTATCCAAATTAAAATCCAAATTTTATTTTCTTTTCTTTTTAAATTAAAGGTCAATTACAAAAAGTAGTTCACCAAAATTATTTGGAATTAATTAAATATATTGGAATTGTTGACTCTCAAATTTTTAAAGAAATAAATGAATGGAATCTCGATAAATTTCCAATTAGCGGGATTGATTTAATGTCTTTAAATATTCCTAAAGGGCCAAAAATGAAGTAAAAATTTTAATTAATTTAAAAATTTAATTAATTTTAAAGGAAAGTACTTAAATATTTATTTAATGTTTGGATTAAAAATAATTTAAAATTAAATAAAGAAGAATTGTTAGAACATATTAAAGACAATGAAGTAGACAATATATTGGCAGAAATTGAGGAACCGACAAATAAAAAGAAGAGACGAATGCCTGGACCTTTTTCTATGGAAAAAAGATGAGAAAAATTTTTTGTTTTTTTTTAATTGAATCAGAAATTTTATTTAAAAATAAATGATGAATTTTTAATTAAATTTTCTTGTCCATTTTTGTTTTTAAAATTATTTTTTTAGTTAGTTCACATTCCACAACGGGGGTGTGCCGTTTCGTCTTTTGCCTTTCTTGTTTCGCTTTTTAAATCTGTTTCGACAATCCCTGATCCACAACTTATAAAATTTTTTGTAACGTCACTTTTGTTATAAGGGGTCTTGTCTATTCTCGAGTTCTTTCACATTCCTTTTCAAGACATTGAGACACTCCATTTGTCTTGCAAGGTGCAACGAGACAATTAAAAATATTTTAAAGTTGCTTTCAAATTATTTTTATTTGTTAATGTAAAAGGGAGGGGGGTTAATTTGTGCATTGTGAATGACGGAGAAAATGGCACTTTTTTGTAAATAAACAACTATGTTTTGAATGGATATCTAATGAGAGGGGGAATAAATAGAGATATTTATTTATACTTGAACCTTTAAAAGAAAATATAAACATTTGTGTTTATATTTGCAAATATTATTTAAAACTGTGACGTTAATGAAAATTTCTTTTGAGCAAATATTTTCTTTATTAGTAGCTTTTATTTTTAGCAGGTAATTTTTGAATTATTAAACATTTGGGAATGCCCCTAATGTTGGTTAGGGATTGTATATTATGTAAATTGTGATGGATTTTCGTAACTATGGAGCAGAGTTCCGACGTTTTTTTCCTTCCGATTTCTGGCACCTTCGTCATTTCCGATCGAACTCTATTATGAAGTGAGCGGCGGAAGCAAACAGCTTCGTTTGGACCAGGGATGCGCCGGCTGTGAAAAAGTCGGACAGAAAAAGTCCTATCCCTGGTTTGTACTAACTTTAGCAATAATAATAGTGAGACTTTGAGAATTATGGAGAGAAAGGAGCCGGTATGGAATTATTCGAAAAAATTCTGTAAAAGTTAAAATTAATGGATAATCAAATCAAATTAATTTTTCATTAAAAAATTTATTTTAAGTAAAACCTCAGCTAATTTTTTCTTTGGAAATGTTGTTGGGAATAATGGAGTAAATGTAAGGGAATTTATTTAAAAATTTCCTCTAAAAAATAATTTTCTAGTCAATCAACAAAAATGTCAGATTTCGTTACCCTCCTCGAACACAAAATTTTATGGCCAAACAAAATTTTGAATTTGGACAAATTTTGTCTAAAACAACACTAAAAACACCCAACAAATCTTCAAAAAATTCTTCAAAAAATCCCCGAAAAAATAAAAAACCAAAAATTTTAATGAAAAGTAAAGGGTTATTATTAAATAATAATCAACATTTTAAGACGACTTTTAAAAATGTTTTTGGATTTAAAACGGTTTTTTTTTGAAAAAAAACTTTTTTAAATTTTTTTTTAATTTTTTTAGTCAATAAAAGGTCTCAAATTTACCCCAACAGATATCAAAAAATATACAGGTAAATTAACTAAATCTCGACGACAAACGTTTAAATGGGCGCCGAATGGACCTATTAGTGATTATTTAATGCAAGGTCCGAGAATTTGAGAAAAAATTTTTTGGAAATTTTAAAATAAAATAATTTGTATAGTCAAATCTCATTTTTAAATACACAATTTGGACTAGAAATCCCTTTTAAATTCTCTACTCTAATTCCAAATTTGAAGAAAGGTAGAAATAGGCCCAACCGAATTAAAGGGAAATACTATATTGAGTACCTAAAGATGTGCTTTGACTGTCTGAAAATATTTTAAAAATTTTTGTATTTTAATAAAATAAAGAAAAAAATAAATGTAAAGAGTTTCTTTGCAAAAAAAATTTTTTTGCTTAATATTTCTCTAAATTTAATATTTTTTTAAATCTTTATGGAAAAAATTTATTTAAAATTTTAAAATAACAAAGAAAAAACCTTTTTAAAAATTCCATTTTTCAACAAATAATCAAACCATATCCTTGTAAGACCTCCTCTGTTTGTCTTTAAAGAAATAATCTGGCTCTCTCTTCCACAAACCCAATTCCCTTTCATTACTTAATTCGTCTTGTTTGTGGTAATTGTGGTATTGAAGTAAATAATTAATTCTTTTGTTTAATTGATGGAATGAATGGGGAGAGGTTTGTTGGATTTTTGGGCCGTAAACATTTCTGAAAATTAAAAAAATTTTTAGAAAATTAAATTTTTATTTAAGAAAATTTATTAATTTTAATTACAGAGATCACTAGAATATTCTTTGTCTATTTCAAAAAAATTCTACTGGTAAATTAACGGTAAAATAAAATAAAAAATAAATAGGCAGAGGGATGAAGACAGGAAAAAATTTTCAAATGGAATTTTTCTAGGTCTGCCTTTGCCACTTAACTAGTCAATATACTTATACATATGTAGAGCCCGGACAAATGGTATTTTTTCGATAAATACAGAAACCGAAAAATATCGAAAAAAATATCGTATCGAGCCAGGCCCTACTTATAAGGTAAAATGAGAGGATAAAAATAACAATAAAATCGTCCTACTCTTCAGTAAAAATTTAAGTCAAATTTAAAACAAACCTATAATGAATTTTTCTAATTAATTCATTTGCTCTATGATTGCCAGGAAATCCTCTTAACCATCTCGGAACGTGATAGAGTAATTGTGAAGGATGTAGAGAACCATCTCCAAGAATGTCAATATAATCATTTTCTCCGAATCTAGCATTACTTTCTTTCCATTGGTCTTTAACCTTTAAAAAACAAATTTCAAAAAAATTTTAGAAAAATCTGTGCCCAATTTTTAAACACCCATAATTCTTATTTAATTTTTGTTGTTATTCACCCGTGTTTCACTTAACTAAAATCAAAAACAAATATTTTTGCAAATTTCATATTTAATAGGTAAAGCATAGAAATGAGAAAATAGTATTTAATTAAGGCTATTTTTTAACAGAAAAGACCGGCATGAATACTAAAAGTAATCCTTTTATTTAGCCAATCCAAAAAATTTTTAAATTTTTTCTCAGAGTTGGAAGTTTTCTTAATTTATTTTTTCTTTTAATAAACTATCTAATTTTTGGTGTAAAAGAAATCCCAAAAATCTGAAAAGCCTTGAAAATTTACGTTACTTTTGCACTATCAATAATACAATTCAGTTAAAGTAGGCACAGATAATAAAAAAATGACAAAGAAATTAAAAAAACCTTGTCTTTCGGTTTAAACAAAGGCTCCTTCAAATTTGGAATTCTTGGAAGAGGATCAACGCCTGGACGATGATAACGATAGAAATAGCCAGTATCAGTCAATTTTGTTGATCTTTTACGTCTGTCATCAGCAATTCGCGGAACTTGTGAACGATCATGCCAAAACCGAATATTTGTTGTTAAATTATTTGTTTTGACAAATTTGATTAAATTTGGAAACATTTAAAATATTTTTTAAAAAATCTGAAAAAATTAAAAAATAAAAAGAAAAATTGCAAAATGTGGGGAAGACCCGTATTTTTTCTTCGCCGGTTCATTGCTAGCAGAGGTGGGCCGGAATTCCGATTTCCTACGTTTTTTTTTCTTACGATTTCCGACTTTCGAAAAAATTTTGATTTCGAGTTCCGACTTTTGAGTTCCGATTTCCGACACCTCTGACTGTTCCGACCCACCTCTGATTGCTAGTCCTACTTTGCCTATAATTTTGTTTTGTCGCCATAATTGGACTTAAAAGGCTCATTGTTAGGAATAAAAAATTAACAAATATTTATTGTTAGACTTCAACAAATTTTTGGAAAAAATAAAAAAAATAATAATAATATTTATCAAAAAGTCAAGATCACCACGACATTAAAATAAATTTGTTTAACCTTATAGAAACCGCTCAGAAATCAATGGGGTTTTGGATTTTTAACTCATACTGGAAAAAATAAATTGAAAATAATTCTGAAAATGTTGGAGAAAATAAAAAATTCTGAGCGGATTCAATCCAATACCAAAAGAAAAAAATAGGCAAATTGTCAAAAAAATTAACAATAAATTCGCTCAATTTCTATATTATTAAATACTTCCAAATTTCCCTCACATAAAAAAGAAAATTTAATTTTTGGATTGAATTTGCTGGAAAGTTGGTATTTTGTTTCTACAAAAGTTCCGATAACAAGTTTCTTTCCAATTTTTTTAGCTCTTTTATTTAAAAAAGTAAAAGGAATATTACAACACTGTAATTCAATATTAGCCACCAATTTTGAACAATCCTTTGACGTTTCAATATGCTAAAATAAAAATAAATTTGGATTCTTCAAAAATATTCTGTAAAAATTTTCTGCATACGGGAAAAAAGGATTGTCCTAACTAGAGACCGGCGCGGGACGGGGTCCCGATCCCGAAATCCCGGATTTTTTTGATTTTCGGGATCAACCGGGATCCGGGATTTTTTCGGAATTTATCCCTCGGGATCCCGTCCCGGCATCGGTCAAGAAAAAATCCCGACTCGGGATCCCGGAAGTGCGATTTTGCCGGTCTCTAGTCCTAACAAGGGAACCTTTCAAATTTTAAGTCAAAACTTTGGGCTTTTTTTGACCAATAGATAGAGCATTATTGATTTACTTTAGAAAATCTTTTTCTTTTTTCCACAGAAATAGGAAACTTAAAAGTTATGGGGCTTCAGTTTGTGAAAATTAGGATTGCTTGAGTTCTCCCAATGAAAGAAAACCCTATTTTATTCAATCTGCCCAGGATCGGACGGGCCAAGAAAATAAGCACAAAAACTTACATTTATAATACAATCAAAAAGGTTCTGCACTTTTTTCGACACTAAACAAACATTGTTAAACTTGTCTCCACTCATTAAAATTTTAAATAAAACATCTGTATATTTTGTCGCGTCTTCATCATATAGATTAATTTCAAAAGTTTCACTAATAATTAGATAATTCAAAATAAATTTTAATACATTTCCAATATTGTAATCCAAAAACACAGAAGATCGCCGAATATAAAATTGTTTTGAATTTCCAAATAATAATTGAATTAATTCCGGATTGAATGTAAAGTCATCAAAGTTGCCATAATCAAAAGAACAATTAAATAATTTGTTTAGGTAATAATAAACAATTTTGATTTGATTTTTGCTTCTAATAATGGTTGGTAGTTGAAGTTGAAGACCATTGATTTTTGAACCGTCCGAAATTAATTCTTAACAAAAAAAATTAAAGGAAAATTATAAAAATTCGAAGGTTATTAAACAAAATTTACCTTTATATAACCAAATAACAATATTATTGTTCGAATATTGACTAGCCAAATAAAGAGGAATTGGTTTTTTTATTCCATTTTTCCACTAAAAAAGAGGAAATTTTAATAATTTAATTAATTTAATACCTTCTCTTCAAGCTCTTCATTCAATGCAAAATCAAAATTTTCAACATTGGGTTTAATTAATTTATAATGAGACGAAGAATTTTGTAGATAAGAATAGTCCTTAAATATTTAACAATTTAAAGTAATAAAAAAACCTTACAATAATTATTTGATCAAATTTCTCTCGAGCAAGTTTCACTTCAAATTCGTTAACAAAATTACGAAAATATAAATTCGTTTGTTTGATTGAACATAATTGATTATAGTTGAAAAATTTAAAAACATCAAGTTGAACTTCAGTTGGTAAATACTTTGCAAACAAAAAAGTCATTTTTGAAATTTATTTAGCACTAGAAAATTAAAATTAAAAAAATTTAGTTAATTTTGAATATTAATTCCCCATTTTTTCATCCAGCAAGGAAAATTTATGCTTGTTAACAACTGAGCCCAGATATAGTAGAACCGAAAGTCAAAAACCCCACGGGGACCAAGCTGATTTTTAGGGTCGAGATCAACTAAATTTTTAAAACACCAAAACAAAAAATGCACAAAATATTAAAAACGTCAACAACGTAAAGGCAAAAAAATTAAATTAAAAAATAAAACAAAATTTACACAAAATAAATTTACAATATTTTTGAAAGTTAATTAATATATCAGTATATACATGAGAGGAAATATTTATTTATACAAATCTTCTAATATCTTTTTAATTTTGTTCCATAGTTCCACTTTTCAGATCGCCCATCAAGTCCTCACAGTACTTCCATTCTTTATTTTTTGCCCCATCATAGGCATGTTTCAATAAATTTTTGCAACTTTTCTTCAAGTTGTTGGTAACCGCAACTGCCTAAAATTTAATTAAAAATTTAATATAAATTAATCAGATTTTTGTGCAAGGACAGTCCACCCGTTATCAACTAATATTTTAATCAACTATCCTAACAATAAACCGGGGAGGATTTGGAATTTTTGGTTGCCTTTAACCAGACACATGAAACCCCTTAAAAAAGCTTTGGCAAAAACTTTTGATAAACCTTGGCACTGCTTGCCCTCCAAAATTAAACGAACTCATTTTAAAGGGTGAATTACTGTCCCCTAAAACTCTTTAAAAGACTATTCCTACATTAGTCTTCATCCTTTTCAGTTCAGTCTCATCCATCGCGTTAATATCACTTTGCTCCAAAAGGCTTGACAATTCTTCTGTTGGCCTTTCAATAAATTCCTGATTGT